GCTTGCCCATTGTCTCCCTATTTATTGTCATTGAGATTTTATAATCGAACATGATTATCATTGGTTTTTTTTAACTTTTAGAAGTCCCGTAAACCGTCGCGACCGTGCTGCTTAACGGCATATTCTCTCTGTCAAACGCTCATTATACTCCTCTAATGCCCATCCGCTACCTCATCGCTTTGTAGTTATTGGGATTTTAAAAATTAAACATAATTATCATCTGGGTTCACTTTTTTACTTTCTAGATGTTTTGTCAAACGGTTAGCGGTTTTGCTTTTTCAAATTTTAATTAATATTGTATTGTATTCTACATGGACTTTTTTTAATATTTATTTTTTCAAATTTTAGTTACTTCTGGATTGTATTTCTAATAGATTTTTTTTCCTTTTTCTCTGATTAATGTGAGAATTAAACAACATTCAACAAATTGAGATTCGTTCAGCGACTGATTTTTATCTTCCATTTGAACTCATTTCCATAATTCTTTTTCTTTTGTTGTGTAATTGTTATATTCTAGTTAATTCAATCGGTTCAATTCTCATTGCCACCACGTTCCTGGAACCGTAAGTGCAGAGGACCCGCCTGAGACGATGGATCCAACCAAGGATGCTTTCGACGGTCCATGTTCCAATATTCTACTCCGTCATTTTATTGTTATTTATTTTTACGGTATTTAATATTAACTTTTCTTTTAAAAATTTTAGTATTTTTATTTAAAATTTTAGTGATGTACGGGTTATACTACAAAATTTATCCTGAAAATTGAAATCAAATATTTTTTCATTTTTTTATTCTAAATTCAAAGTATTGTTGGATCTGTCTTAGATTTAGATAGTCCTTTATTTATAAATATATTTTTCAATTTAGATGGATTTTTCTTTTAATAATTTTAGTCATATGCATCATAATAGATGCTATATACGCTTGGGTGCATCTAGCTGCTAGAAATATAACTTAAGTGCTACTTTTTGGACTACCAGAAGCCGGAAGAATTTTTTTTGCTAGCCAATAGTCGTCGTCCTCCCGGAGCATACGTTAATAAAGCTCTTTTTTTTTTTTTGCTGGCATATGACCAGGGGTATTAATACCTATCTAGTGTTTGTTTGTTTTGGTATAGTAGCTGGAGTCGGAGTCGGATACAAAGAGCAAATACTAATTAGATAATAAGACAGATTGTTCGATTGGATTATTTCTACAACTCTATTTTAGAATTTTTCTTTCTATATCTGTCAAGAAAGATCTCAACCGTTATAATTTGGACCCACTATAATCTATCGGCGTGTATTTTTTTCTTTTCTCCGATTTATGTGGAAATTTCTAGCCCTCCACAGCAAACGTGGTGCCTCCTTTCAAGGCTGATTTAATAATATAACTAGCTGAGTGGCCCGCGCAAAGTTGCGCGGCTAGTACCAAACAAAATCATATATTTTTCAGTTTGATTTTACTTAAGATTTATTAAATAGCTATCCCCGTATTTCTAATTATATAGTTTTTAAAAGTCACACCAGCTGCTACCCCTTACTTCTGTCATATCTTTTTTATTTGTTTGCTCGGTCTACCATTATTTCTATTCATTCTCCTTAAAACATCTAAAAATGGGGATCTTTTTTTATTTGTTTGCTTGTTCTACCATTATTTCTATTTATTCTCCTTAAAACCTCTAAAAATGGGGATCTTATAGTTTTTTGAGTTTATTATCTTGTTGGGTTTTATTTTTATAATTTCTAGAAGTCCCGTCAAACGCTGCCATTATACTCTTCTACAGCCCGTCCACTGTCTTTTCTCTTTATTGTCATTGGGATTTTACAAATCAAACATAATTATCGTTCGGGTTCATTTTTCTACTTTATATAAGTCCCGCTAAACCGTCAACAGCTTTGCCATTGTATTCATTTATGGCTCGCCCGCTGCCTCCCTTCTTTGCCATTGAGATTTTAAAATTGAATATGATTATCATTTTTTTTTTACTTTTTAGAAGTTTCGAACCTTTAAAAATTGGACCTTATAGTTTTTAGAGTTTATTGTCTTGTTGGGTTTCATTTTTTATAATTTTTAGAAGTCCCGTCAAACGATGCCACTATACTCCTCTACGGCCCATCTGCCGCCTATTCTTTATTGTCATTGGGGTTCTAAAATCAAACATAACTATCATTGGAATTTATTTTGTATTTTCTAGAAGTCCCGCCAACCATCGGCGGCTTTGCAACTGTACTCCTATACACCCCGCACGATGCTTCTCCTTTTTTATTGTTATTGAGATTTTAAAAATCGAATATGATTATAAATGGGATTTTTTTTACTTTCTAGAAGTCCCGGCAACCGCCTTACCCGTTTGCTTCACGGCCTGCCTGTCGTCCCTCCTTTTAATCATCATTAGGATTCTATTTGGTGTACCACTCTACTCTTTTATAGGCATGTGACTTGATTTATCTCGTCATGTGTTATAGATGGTTTTTTTTTTCAATAGTCTTTATTTTTTATCATGAATTTTTGTTATTTATAAATTATATTTCTAATTGAAATCTTTTTTCTTTTTTCTTAATTTCAGAATTTATTTTTTTTTCAAATTTTAGTTAATACTGTATAGTGTTCTTTTAATATTTTTTATTTTTTATTTTTTGAATTTCAGTTGTTTTAAAATGTATTCCTACTTGAACTCTCTTTTAATTTTTCTAATTTTGGATATTATTTTATTTTTTTTCTAAATTTTAATTAATCTCGTATTAGTTTCTTATATGGATTCTTCTTTCAATATTGCTTATTTTTAATTCCAAGTTTCAGTTGATTTTAAATTATATTCCTACTTAAACTCTTCTTTTCTTTTTGCTAATTTTAAATTTTATTTTTATTTTTATTCCGAATATTAACTAATCTCGTATTGGGTTCTTATATGAACTCTTCTCTCAATATTCCTTATTTTTAATTCTGAAATTTAGTTATTTTTAAATTATATTCCTACTTGGACTCTCCTTTAATTTTCTAATTTCGGTTTTTTTTATTTTTATTTCGAATTTCGATTAATCTCGTATTGAGTTCTTATATGGAAACTTCTTTCGATAGTGTTTACTTTTAATTCCGAATTTCAGCTATTTTTGAATTGTATTTCTACATGGACTCTTCTTTTCTTTTTCTCCGATTAATGTGAGAATTTCTAGCCCCACAGCGAACGTGGTGCCTCCTTTCAAAGCTGTTTTAATAATATAATAGAATAATAGATAGGTAGATAGATAGATTGGTCGGTTTGGCTGACGCGGCAAAAAAAATGTTCAGATTCAGCGAAATCGTGTAACTTTCAAAAACATTTTTTTTTTTGCAGAATTCGATGTCCCAAATTTCTTGTCTATTCTGAAATAGAGTGAACCCTCTCTGGTCCGGGCGAACCGAAGGGCCGGCAACCCTGCAGAGGCGACTATATTCCACATTTACAGAGTAGTGAGTTCTTTTAGAACGCAGTAATATGAGTATATGAACTTCAGATTTGTGTTTACTGTTCATCTTCCAAAAATTTACGAAAAACCCGCGTTCTTTTCTAAATATCCGTCTTTTGGAATATAGTTGCTCCCCATCCGTTAAAAAAAACTTAAAATATGGTGTGACCTATCATAAAGCAATGAATCTGGATAAACTTTTATCCACATTCATTATCCTCGGATATATCACATACTATCCTAAGTTGGTTTTTTTATTTAAAAGTACTCTTCAAGCTCGGCAATTTAAATTAACCTTTTTCTGGTGCACGTTGGGAATTGAACCTGTTGTGTTAAATGTCGTTGTTAGCGTACATTAATCAGGGTTTGCATTTTCGATTTCGGCCAAAATTTCGGTGATTTCAGTTGGGCCAAAATTTCGTGATTTTCGGCACTTTTCGAAATTTTTTTAAAAACATTTAACTGGATTTGAATAAATTTTAACCAAATTCAACAAACATTTGATAAAATCTGAAAATTTCGGTCGATATATTGGTTTGCCGGGGGGAGGGGGGAGGGCTAAAATAACCGAAATTTCGAAAAACGGTGAAGCATATTCGAGTGACAAAATAATCTTTTTTGGGGGGGGAAAGAAAAGGGACAAACTATTTTTTTTCTAGAAAAATTACAGGTACAGATTAGAAAGCCTATGATAACATGCCCTTGTAAGTTCAATAAAAAACATGACCTTGTCAACTGCAGAATTATCATCCTATTGTCACTGTTCAATTTTTATATACTCCATCTATTTTATATTAGGAAAAAGTCGAAATACCACCCTAAACTTTAGATGGAAGTCCGTCTAGTACCCTGAACTTTAAAACCGGACATCCAACCCCTTGAACTTTATCATACCATCCATATTATCCCCTAAGGTGGTTTTAGATGATGGTTTTGCATATTTTAGAAACTTAAACGAACAGTTTTGAATAACTAATATAACATATTTTCATATCATCAATTTATCCTTATATAATGATATCATACTATTATTATATGTTGGTACTTTTTTATAAGCGAGAGCTAATAAGGAGAAAAAGAAAGATTTAAGTCAAAATTTTAATATATATGTCCAAAATGTATGATATGTGATCAAACTCATCCAACTTATATAAAAACTAGATAAAAACCACTATGCAAAATCACCTTAGGGGATTATATAAACGGTATTGTAAAGTTTAGCGGATTGAATGTCCGGTTTCAAAGTTCAGAGTGCTAGACAGACTTTCATCTAAAGTTTAGAGGGTTATTTAGATTTTTTCCTTTATATTATAAGACGACACTTTGACTTTTTTAAGTCAAACTTATATGAAGTTCCATCAAATGATTGATAGGAAAAGAAATAACATCTCTTACAACATCAAATTAGTTTAATTAAATCTAACATGAATATATTTTGATATGAATATATTTTGATAGCATGTTTATACTCTTATATATTTTGATATTATGTTTGGTGTCGAAAATATTGTTATGTTTTTTTGATAAACTTAACTAAACTTAAATAAGTTTGACTTTTTTAAACAAGTTTGATTTTAAAAATGTCAAGCTTTCAACATGAATAACCAACAATCGCAAGGTCAAATCTCTGCAGGCAACAAAACTGTAAACATTGTTTTAGATGATGAGGTAGAAACTATGAGTTCTGAATCATCTGCCCATGCTCAACGCGGCAGCCGGTCTGCGCAAGCGCAGCCGAGAAGAAGGTGCCTCCGTCGATCCTCGAGTCCATGCATGGCGGGGAGAAGACGGAGATGATGTCCCTTGCCGTGACTACTCCTTCGACTCGCCCGTGCTCGTCGACGATGAAGCTGCAGCTGCTTCTTGACGCTGTCAGCTTCTCCATTGCTTGCTTCAGGGTGTCAGACTTGCGGTTGGTAACAGGCAGGCCTGCTGTTATCCTCTGCCCTGTTCTGAGGCTGAGGACATTTTGGCCACCAGAAGCTGATGAATTTTCTGTGCTGATGTCCTCATCCTTGCTCTTCAGTTTGACGAATTCTTCCGCACTTAATGTCCTGAAAGGAATGTATATGGTCAGCAAAGTATTCTCGAGGAGTCGAGGAGGGACAAGAATTAGAGAACTGAAAGAAAAACAATGCTTACTTCCTGTTCCTAAATAGGGAGCTATCGTCCAGAAGCTGATAAAGATCGCTGCACTGTATTGATCCAATCAGACAACTGGTTTTCCTGTCAACAACTGCAACTCCTATTTTCTCCTTTGAAAGAATATGCAATGCATCAGCGAGAGTCTGATCCGAGTAGACTGAAACAGGCTTGGTCGTATTTGCGAACCTGCAACATGCAAATGAAATCTGTTCACACTAGCAACATTTTTTCATTTTTGACAGGAACACTGCCTAGCAATTTTAACTAGCGAGGTGCTATGCAAATTCAGGTCTGCGACTTATGAGTCATCATGCAAAATAAAGCATGCACAGTTAGCTCATGCATGTGAGAAGCTGAGATTGATTCATTTTTTATGATTATGCAAATATTTTGACCAGAGAAAAAAGAAAAATCAAATTAGTGCGGAAGTCCAAATTTCTGCCGTTATACAATTCATATAGCAGAAAACTACAATTTAATAAAATTTATACGTTTCCATTCATATATTAGAACTTTTAAGAAGAACAAACAGTTTTTGAAAGCTAAAATGAATTAGCACATAGTTGTGCAAATTGCAAGAGCTGGTACACTAGCTTGTTTTTTTTGAGATAATTGATCTACTTCCTCTAGCCTCACACTCAGCCACACTAGTATATGTTTAAGTCCAAAAATGAATAACCATATTCATCACTTAATCAATTTACTTCTATTGCTTGCACCCCTATCATTGGATACAAAAGAAAAACTGCAATCTGGTAGTACTTCATTTATTATCAAGGCTTACCTAAATTCAGAAAGTTGTTTGTCTGCAATTTTATCGAGCCACTCAAGACCACTTGAACTGAGAAGCAATTCCATTACTGCATTCTAGTGTGATCTATTAACCATTAGCTTTATGATTGAATTCTTACTATAAAAACATCAAGCTTCAAAAAAATGCACAAATAAGTACCTGCGTTACAAATCCAATAACACTGGAGTTCATCAACTCAACAACAGGTACCACATTGATCCTGCGGTGCTTTGAGAAGAGAAGCATTGCATGGAAGAGTGTATCATGGGATCGAACGGGGAAGAATGGCTCCCATAGGAACGACTTTGCTAACCAGGCAATCTGTTTCCGTTTGTCAGAGCAGAAACCGAAATGTAAATTTGTATAACTTCCATGTTATCGTTGAAACACAAGCAAACAATTCGGTTATCAACAACTTCCTCATTTCAGTGAACTACTGAACTAATGGCAGCACGCTGATACGTGCTTCTTGGAAGCAGAGAAACATGTACCTTTGTTTCTGCAATCTGAGGATGCTGTTTTAGACTTGTCAGGAAGTCGGAGTTTTTGTCACCTGCTCCACTTCCCAGTTTGTCAAATTCCTAAAAACAACGCAATTCGATAATTTCTGAAGCATAAAAAAAAAAAACTTGCAGAAATAGCAGAGTTTGCTCTAAGCAAGAAACATACCACTGGTAGATAGTAACACAGTAAAAATAGAGAAGCTGAAGGATGGAATCTCACGGTAATTCGGACGAACAGTTCGATCGATCATTACCTCAATCGCCCACAAGACGAGGCTTGGGAACTCGACGAATCCTATGTCGCGATCGACGAACTTGCCGAAACTAGTCCGCACATCGTCGACGATCACCGCGCCGGCGACATCGCTGCGGTACATGGAGTCGATGGCGTCCGGCACGGAGCCATCGAGCCTGATCTCCAGCGCTGCAGCACAGACACGAGACCAAAACCGTATGAGCGCCCCCCCCCCCCCCCCCCGGGCCCCGGCCGGCGCGTGTAGGAATCAAGAAACCGGTGCTTGCCTGGGGAGGGAGAGGGCTGGATCGCGCCGTTGACGGACGAGACGGGGATATGGTCCAGGAACGACTTGAGCGCCTCGCTCCAGTACTCCCCCGCCGCCGCCGCCGCCGCCGGTCCTCCGCCGCCGGCCTGTCCCGCCGCTCCAGTCTCCATGTCCAACGCCGTGAGTGAGACTCTGTAGTACTACTGTTCAGTGGGATGTGTTCCTTACTGCGGGGAGTATTTCTTCCGGTAGTCCGGTGTCCTTTTGCGAGCAGTTGCCCAGCCACGTCCGCGGATGCGCGGGGACACGCGGCGCCGCGCGGATCGCCGCCGGCGGGAGGCATGGTTGCCGAACCAGCCTACGTGTTGCATTTTCTGGAGTCGTCCGCTGAATATTTTTGCCTTTCCTGAGTAGGTTTATACTGGGCCACGATGGGCCAAGCCATGCTTATTTTACCCATTTGTATTCGTCGACAGTTAATAAAGATCACTGATCAGACAATTAATTTTGCATAAATCATGCAATGCTCCGTACCAAAGCACGCCCCGCCGCATCATATTAGGAGGGTGCAGTTTTACATACGACGGCTGATGCCGTGACCGTGATGCGTCTCAACAATGATCAACAAGTTCATGTCTAGTGTGTACAGTACACTATCAAGGCAACACAAGCTGTTCGGTCCAGCCAAAGAAAGAAATTTAAGAAAGATCCATGATCCATCGGCTTCTCGCCGTCGAGTTCGTCGACGTCGGCCGTCCGGGCGGGCGGGCATGCATTACGCAGCAACTTCTTTACGCCGCGAGCTTTGTCCATGGCGCGGCGACCAGCTGGCCGCACACGTCGTGGCTGCACACCGGGCACGTGTTCCCCTTGTAGAACCACGCGAGCACGCAGTTCGCGTGGAAGGCGTGCTCGCATGGCAGGTTCACGGGATCGGAGGACGCGCCAGCGCCACCGCCCATGCCGAACTTCTCCCGGCAGATGCCGCACGCCTCGTCGGAGCCGGGCGCCGTCGTGGACGCGGGGCGGGTCTCCTCCGTCGTCCATGGCTTGTCGGGCTGCCGGTCGCGGACGGGCTTGCCGTTGCCGCGGAGGCGGCGGGAGGCGTACTTGACGGTGGCATTGCAGCGGATGTGCACGGACGAGCAGGCGGTCGTCGTCGACGTCGACTCGCTCGTGGCCTTGTGCTCCGGCACCATCTTGCAACTGAAGTCGGTGATGCTGATGCGCGTCTCCACCGCTGCCATTGCTGCCGGCCGCTTCTGTGCTAGCTCTCTTCTTGCTTCTTGGGGCGATGGAGATGGAGATGGAAGGGAGCAGCTAGGGTTCGGCAAGAGGGATCGAGAGCGGAAGGAAGGAGAAGTGAAGGAGGCGATCGTGATGGAGTCCAGTCTCGGTGTCTATTTATGGTCCTATGGACGGATGTTCTTCTCCGAATCGGAGTTGATGGTCCATGCGCGGACCCCACTCCTCCTCCCGATGCAGTGTTAAAAAGGAGAATACGCGTTCAGTTGCTGACGCAACAACCACTATATAGTCCAGTAAAGGTTGTTTACTTTCGAAATAATCGAGCTGAATAACAGTCTGCCCTGAAGGCCAAGCACCAACCAGGCACTGACAGATTTCAATCAGAGAAGCACTTCATACAGTCTCTCTACTTTGCTCATACAGGCTTCAATCGGACAAGCAGTACTTCATACAGTCATACTACTACATATTCCGCTGCATCTGCATACCAAGCAGATGAATAAAGTACCTCGGTTCATGGCTGTACATAGCATACCTAAAACAGGTGAAAACAGATCTACTTGTACAGGTGGACCATAGGTGGCCACCAATGCAGATACTGCAATAGTACCAACTTATTTTGTGTCCAACAAGGAATGAAACAGCCATGGTCTAACCCCACTACATAGTTACTACAGATCTCGAATGAGCTAATGCTTAAGTAGCATGATGTCCAGATCAGGTGGAACGCAAACAGCAGCGCTACACGCAATGGCATCGAACAGGTGGGCTTAGCGCTTCCTCCTGTTCGCTCGCCACTGTCTCAGGACGAACTGGACCGTTTCCTTCAGAGTGGCCTTCCGTTTATCCTTGAAGTTCCACAGCTCTCCTACTGGGAATCTGCCGCTAGGGTTGTACTCATTAATTTCACACAGCGCGTCCCTCACCAATCTGTATATGTCTTCGCCATGCTCTTCTTTTAATTCTTGAAGTTTGGCATCATCCTCGATAATTTCCTACAACACATAGATGTCAAATAAGATAGCGCAGGTAATGAGACTTAATATATAGTGTCACATCTTGGCAGGCTGTTGTTGCGAGTAGAATGGTATGTTGGTTTTTTGTACAGGAGTTACTCGCGTTTTTAGCAATAGGCAAGATGAGGAAGTCGTATGTGTGTGTGTGTGTGTGTGTGTGTGTCTCTCTCTCTCTCTCTCTCTCTCTCTCTCTCTCTCTCTCTCTATATATATATATATATATATATATATATATATATATATATATATATATATATATATATATATATATATATATATATATATATTTCAATATCAAAACACCACTATAAAACACAAAATCATTAATATGCCACTCTAAAATAACAAAATCTATATATGTGTGAGAGAGATCTGATTGTTTAGTTAAAAACAAAGTACCATACTAGCGATTCTTAAAAATTATAAACTATGGAACCGCGGAAATGTGCACAAGCAGTATTTTCACAAATAAAGATTCATACCTTCTCCTGCCCATCAACCAAGACAAACCTAAAAGGGTGCCAATCAGGATTTTTAATTTCAGCTTGCCACTTTGAACAAAGAATGGCAGCAGTAATCTCTGCATCCTCTTCCGATGACATCTTTCTGCATGCTTTTGAAAATGCTTCCAGATCAAGCTCGCCCATTCTCTTTATTCCTATATGTGATTGACCATCTAAGAGATCAAGTAAGCCCTGTGGAACATGCAATAGGTGAATGATTAAATGACCATCAAATCTGAAATAGCACCAAACACATCGATCTCATCATTGAAACAGCCTAAAACAGAAAACACTATCCAGTTTGTTCAACTTAAAAGGTAACATACATTTTCAAGCTCCTTCCTGGCATCTTGCATTTCAGTATTGCTTTTTCTTTCTTTAATAACCAAAGTTTGGTTAAGTGACTCCATAGCATCTAGTTCATCCATCTTTTCTTGCAGCTCCTCACTCAATTCATCAATTTTATTTTTCAATGCTGAATCTTCATCCCCTGGCATATGCTTCATCACTTCCAATTTGCCCTTTAACTGCTGTATATCTAATTCAAGCTTTTGTTTTGCATCCACCTGCTGTTCTAACTTCAAAATTTTCTTTACAGCAGCTTCTTTCTCTCTCTGCAATTTCATTACAATAAGACTTCCATATGAAGGATATTGTATGGGAACTAAAGTATCATACAATACAATGGACAAAGGAGATTGCTACACACCTTATGTTCTCTTACAAGCTTCAGCACATTTTCATCAGCTCTCTCTTGTTCCAACGTTGCCAACTTAAGATGGCTTGATTTGATAGCATTCTGAGTTCAAGCGATAAAAACTTTGCATAAGTTGCATGATAATGATGAAAAACAAGGCCTAACCATCTGCAGCACAGTACATGAAATGCAAAAACCAAAGCATATACTGAAAGATCACTAGTAGTAGGCAGATGGCAACAGAAAATAAATAATATACACAATTTGCCACCAAAATAGGGCAACCACAAATGAATTATCCCCCTTCTTAAGAGAGAAAAAGCAAATGCAACAACACACACCTTCTGCTTCTCTTGATCAATGATCCTTCGGTCATAATCACTTTTTGCAGCAATCTCATCAAGCTCCTTGGATCTCGTATTAAGTTCACTCATCTTGGACTCCAGTTCAGAACGCAGCTTTTGATTCTCATCGATTATCTTCTGAGAATGTCTCTGAGCTAGCTGCTGCATCTTGCGAATTTCTGATAGCAGTTAAGTTTAATCGATCAATTAATAAATGAAAATTCAGTTAAGGGTGATAAATACTCTCTCCCTCTCTAAAAAAGAGGGTGATCGAAATACATGCATCCTGACAAATAGACCTTAATGAAAACACAAACCTTCATTATATTTCTGGAGAAGCTGTTCCCTTTGCCCCATCATCTTCTCAAGTGATGTAGTTCTTTCATTGTATGTAACTTCAAGTTCCTGCAAATGCCTGTTCTTTACCTCAATTTGGTTTGCTAAATTAGCTACAAGTTTGTCAGTTTTACGTGCTCCTTCATTCTCAAGATCATTGATAGTCTTCAGGTCACCATTTTTTCTTAAATGGTCGCCTATTAGCCCTGGAGAAGTGTGATCTTCAGCTCTTGCAACCCATCCAAAGAGGTTTGACCCTTGATTCTGTTTCTCCTTCCAGTCCCTCCTACCATATCCTTCTTTCCCAAAGTAATCTTCAAAGGCAAGCGCATTTCTGAAGCCATGCCAATCTTTTCCAAACTCAACAATAGCATTCCCTGAATGACCTCTAAAATTCCATAATGGAATGATCTTAAGTGGGCAAAAGCGTGACAGTTGCTCCTTCAAATGATTTCCACTTCGTCCAATTTGGCGCCCATCCTTCCATTCGGTAGGCACATTAACTAGAACACCCATCCAGGGCCACACGAACTTCTCATCTCTGTTTGGAAGCGGTTGTGGCTCCACAACAGCTGTCTGTGACTGTTGTCCTGACGACTTAGTGAGGCCATTCTTCAAGTGCTTGGCAAGGGCACGATGGGTTGCCTTATCTTTAGCCTGCCGATTAGACGCAGCGCCTACTCCCGAGGCATGCTGAATAAGATTGTTTATGTTGAAATCTTTCTTCTTCTTGCCACTGCAAAATGGGCAGCTGTAACTCTGCCCATCCTTTACTTTGAATTCCCCTGCCACCAGTCGTGCATAAAATTTGTCTGCGTACTCGTCGATCTCAGAATCACTGATTTCCGAATCTTCATCCGAACTATGACTCATCTTCAGAGAGGAAAGGAAATCCTGACAACCTGGACAGGAAACAAGGACTGAGAGCAGGATAATCAACTGTACATTATAAACTCGGTCAACATTATCGAATGCACGATGAGCATAGGGGCGGATCAAACGTGGGGCGTGGGGGGTTTAGCTGAACCCCCCCAAATTTTGTTCAAAACAAACTGCTATTGCTATCACTACCGCACCACGAATCAAACAAATCAGAACGAAACTGGTATGGGTTAACAGGAGAGAAAGGAATCAATCCAGGTCGGGCTGGATCTCCCCAATCTACCCATGCCCCCGCTCATGCATGGCGCCGAGGATTCATCAGTGCTACGAGAGGAGAGAGAGCGCATACCTTAGGCCCGGCGGCGCGCGCGCGAGCGAGCGGCGGGATCGGGGAGGGGAGAGGAGGCCGTGTGCACGACGTGCCTTCGGGGCCCTGGCCTTCGACCGCCGCCGCGCGCGCGCGCGTGGAGCGGCGGCGGAGGGGGAGAAGGCCGGCGGCCGTGCCCAGGCTCCGCCGGAGAGGAGCGAGGCCGAGGGTGAGGAGGCCCCGTGAGAGCTAGCTACTGAGGGGAATTACTACTACCGATTTACCGAACCGAATGAATGAGGGAGGGAGCGGACTGGACGAGGAAATCTCGGGCGCGGATCCGCTGCCATAGCTATTGCTACCGCAGACGAGCAATTTCGTGCATTAGCTGAAATCTACACCGTTTATTTAAGAGTGAACGGCTGTGCTGCGCTCGTGAGACGAGGGCCCATCTCCTTTCCCTCTCTCCTCGTCCACTTCGCATGCTACAGGTCGAGTGACACAGCCACCACCACGAGCATGCTGCAGCTGAACATATAGGGTTATGTTCGGCACGGAAGGTCCCACGGCCTCCATTTTACAATGCAACACTTTCTAGTATTGTCTATATTTCTTTAGATGTTAATGAATCTAGACATATATATGTATTTAGATTCATTAATATCTATATGTACGTGAACAATACTAAAAAATATTACATTGTGAAATGGAGGGAGTACCTCCGTTCTCTTAGGATGTACTCCCTCCATTCCAAAAAAAAAAAACACCTAGGACGAATCTGAACAATGTCCCTCTTAATACAATAAATCTAGACAGACAATCCATTATCCAGATTCGTAATACTAGGAGGGGTCACATCCCCTACTAGATTAGCTTTTTTTTTACAGAGGGAGTATTTTTTAAAAAAAAAAATCTAGCTACCTTCAAAAAATTATATTAATCAATTTTTCAAGTTTATTTTAGCTAATTCTGCTAAATGATATGTCTACTTTAAAAAATCATATTAATCAATTTTTCAATTTTATTTTAGTAAACTCTTAATTAATCATGCGCTAATTGATCATTCCGTTTTGTGTGCAAAAATGTGAAGTTCCCAACCTCTACCTTCAAATGCAGCCTTCATTAAATATGATTTTCTAAAACATAATTTCAAAGATGATTTTGTATTTTTCTTATCAAAGTTTATTTGTCAGTATTGAATTCCACATCGTTAGGTACACGTAAATAAAAGTTTTAACTATAAATTACATTACATTGTTGCTTATAATCAGCATTATACCAACCGATGGCAGCGATTGGCTCTGATCTTACCTGCCGAGCAAGAGCAAACCAATTGCACACGCTCTTCATTTCCTTACAGCTGTTTACTTCCCCCATAAGCTCTTCTGTCTCATATGTTGCAAGGAGGTGAGAATTAAAAAACCGAAGACACATCAAACAAGCGAAGCAAATTACAGGACAAGTCTGCTGAGAGAGAGGTGCAAACTTCAGAATACCAATAATAGAGTTCCCATTCCAAAACAAACCAAGTACATAAACCTGAAATTACACAAAAGGTTGCGCGACTTCCTCAGGCAGCTTATTGCATATAGGCATATAGCTAAACCAAAAACACCACTTCGCCATGGAGGCTACGCTATCCGTCTTGAATCCAACTCATGCATCAAAATCCCACATCAATGGATGCCAGTTTTCAGATGACTGGAGGTGCGATTCCAAGGCCTATCTATGCTTTTATATGACGGTCCCGTCCTTGATGGTTGCATTCTTCAGGATCACCACAATTCCAGACCTTATGTAGTATCCCTCTTCAGGGTGATCAGACTCTTGGACCCCCTATCATACGCAGTGAACTCGTGTGGTTACCAAGTGTTTATAAAAGATGAGTTCATCGACTTTGGAGTAGTTAAATACATATACTTGCTCACCTGAGTGTTTGCAATGATCACGTTCCTGCCAATTCTAGCATTCATGTCGATGATACAGTTCCTAAAATTCATGAAACGAAGGTCTCATACATTTGGAAACACGATATTGCCAGGTAAGGACAGTAATATGTAAGCATTAGTCCAGATGTGGCTCACCTTATCTTTGTGTTCTCGCCTATACCAATTGGGACCTTGCCTTCAAACAATAGCTTTGAAGTTTCTTCTTCAGTTTCATATTGATCTGCACCCATCATCATGGTATCCTGTGAATTTTAGAATTGCAAAACTACATGAGAATAATTGGTAGTTTCCAAACAGTACCTATGAATCAATCTAATCTTAATAAGACATCAAATTTTGATGCATTGAATGTCCAAACTATGAGCTTTATGTCTTGATAAAGTACCTTGAGTTCACACCCGATGCTAACGCGTGAAGAGATTCCAATGACAGAATGCTCAATGGTGCATTCACTAAAGGAACAGCCATCGGAGATTATTGCATCTTTGATCTGCACAAAAAAAAGATCCAAAATTTAAATTGCATTTGCTGTGATCTGAAGCAACAACTGTGGTTTACATGACTCATACCTTGCACTTCTCCAATCTTGCTGGAGGTAAGTATCGAGGTGAGGTGAAGAAAGGAGTTTTTGGATCATAAAATTCGAACTTTGGAGGCTGGAACGGAGAAACATGTTCAGACAACTTTTGTATACAAATTGGTGTTAGCAGTAAGTTAACTGAAGAATAATGGGTAAATCATTAGACTCTGTAAGACATCTTTGGGTATTACTGTACAAGGTGTCTCGCAATATGTTAAAGAGTGCATCAGTTGTACAGAATACATATGTGGCAATACCTGCTCGGTGAGGGCCAAGTTAGCATCAAAAAATGATTTGATTGTTCCAATATCCTCCCAATATTCTGTGAAGACACATGCCTAAAACAATATAGTGCTAGTTCAAGTTATATAGAGTAGGCAAAATGTAAAAAGCTCATTGATCTGTATATTGCTCTGGGTGTTGTCATGCTAGTTACTCCCAGCGCTCCAGCAACCACAAAACACTAAGGATATTCAGACTGTAAATTTATCATACTCTATAAGTATATCACAATGGAAACTACTGGTCAAACTTGTGTTTTCAGACTGTGTTGATGTCCACTGTGGGTGGAGGTAGCATTAACTAAACCATTGAATATGCAAAAGCAATAGATGGAGATTATGTAGGAAACCCGGATTACAGTTGTTCGGAACTTACCTTCACATTATGCTCTAAAACAGCTCTCGGGAGAATTTCTGATCCAAAGTCTTGCAGGTGTGCATATTTTGACCTAAGAATACGAATTATCAGAAGACATAGGAAGTGGACCGAACTATCACAAATGGGTGACACTTACTTCAGAATGTCTAAAAGAACATCCTTTTTCAAGACATAAATTCCCATTGATGCAATGTAGGGATACTTTTGTTTGTCATCTATTGCATAGCTGAGGAAGCTGGTATCAACTTTCTGCAGTGATCAGTTGATTTAGTGCAGCATTATGCAGAAATAGATATTTATTTCTGACAGACCAACCGTGCAGATGAACTAAAGAAAAGATTTCTCAAGAGAACAGTAAAGATGACAATTACTAACCATCGATTCCAAATCAGCACCCTCTGGTTTCTCAAGAAATTGGATCACACGGCCTGAATCATCAAACTTCACCAGTCCATAGTCAGAAGCTCGGCTTCCCAATAAAAAAGAAGAAAATTAGAACACATGCATCTTATGTTGGATAAGGCACGCTCATAGAATCAGGATGCACAAGAACTAATTTACCTCCCGTCGATGGGAGCACATGATATGGTAATGTCAGCATTGTCATCGACATGTTTCTGCAAGTATTACATGTCAAAGTATTGCTCAATCGAAAATCAAGAATACATGAAGTAAAAAGAATGACAACATAATGCACCTGCACAAGCTCCATGTAATTCATCCTGTAAAGCTGATCTCCACACAAGATTACAACGTGCTCAATGTTGTTTTGATTGTAATGATCCTGGACAGGAATGCAATAGAAGGGGTATTTTATGATCCATGATAAAAGTTACATTCTGCAAGAATTATTACCCATTAATATCAGGGAAGAAACAAATTAATTACCTCAAGTATCCACATAAATTTTCTGATAGCATCTGCTGTACCCTGGAACCATCCAGCCGGTTCGTCAGGCATTTGTGTAGCAGCCAATACCTATATATTGCCAACGTTAGTTCAATTAATGTTGCTACCTGCTACTGCTAGTAACTGGTTTCCACTAAGGCATATCAAGAATATGGAGGTAAATTACCTGCACAGACCCATCAGTAAAGTTGATCCCCCCACCAAGGTATGTATGATGGATATGGCGATTAAGAGAAGCAGAATTGAACTGAGTCATCACAAATATTTTATTTATTCCGCTATTGAAGCAATTGCTCATAGGGATGTCAATAAGCCTGTAACATCCTCCAACAGGAACCTAAGTAATAGAAAAATAAAAATAGAATTTAGATTATTCATTCACAGTTGACAACGAAATTTCGAATCATCTATCTCCTAGTCATTGATAGCCTGATTGGATGAGTGAAAGTTAGATGGCTTAAGGTTATGAGAGAATTAAATTTGATGCTTTTAGGCATCATGGTAAAATACAACATACTACTAGCATATGTTTTCTCGGATGAAGTTCTAAAAGTAGATAACTTGTTGATTAGCATCCTTGTATCTAATACTTAGTTGTGTTGATGTGATACTCTGATATTGATTAGTGTGTCTCATTAGTCTAGGCCCCTAGAAAGAGTAGTTCCAAATGGATAGTAATGTAGTAACCGTATGACATAGTAAGCAAGTCGAAATAACCAAATGATACCAGATGTTGTTGTAACTTGATTTGCAGTCACTCAATCAAGTTAAGCGACAGACATTAAGAACAGCAAGTTAAAATTAGCACTTGTTTAAAGTTTAAACTGACAAGAGATTCCAAACTTTTTCTTAAGTTCTAAGTATGTTATCCACAATTAAAAATCTATTATCTGCACAGTACAGTAGTCAACATTAGATATAAATAGTGTTTCACTTTCTTACAGCGGGGGTAGCCCTTGTGCTTGTCAGAGGAAAGAGTTGAACTCCAGTGCCTCCACCCAAAATGACAGCAGAAACGTGGCTTGCATCAGCATAATTCTTTCGGGAGGATTGTGTCCGAAGATGCTGTAAATTTTAAGCTCAGTTAGATTACTTGAAGTGGATGGTATATACGCACTTCCTGTGCATTTATACACATATGGAACAACAATTCATGAATACGCCTACAAACTAAGAGGGAAAGTCAACTGAAGGACGAAATAATTAATTGTATATTGCATGGAACTACACCACATCAATTATCCAATCTTCTGGCTGGTTAACCATCTTATAAAATTTGTCCCATAAGTTCTTACTGTATTATTAGTAAATCAAGATGTCCATAGGTCGAATGCAGTGATGAAAGCTACAATTCTCTATAATCTTGAATAAGTGCATTGTGCCTGTGGAACACAATTGTGAAATAACAAATTCAATAAAAAGAAAACGACAAATTTACAAGAGAGTTAAATGCTTACAGGAGTGTCTCTATCAGCATCTGATGTGAACACACATCGTGCAGTTCCAGTAACTCCATCACCAAAGCACCTCTTCCTCAGTGCTTTCTCCTGAGTCATGCCCCCAATATTCAATCTTTCCATCAACCTCTCAGTCCCAGCACCCTCACCAGCCCTTCTCATTGGTTGTGCACAAGCATTCGTATCCAATGGCATCATGAATTGCATGGGTACTCAAAGTCCCAGACAAACCTGCAACTAAAAAAATGACTAGGTAATTATTTTCATCAAGAATATGCAGAAAAAGTGTGCCATAACGTCATTTCATAAAGAGATAGAACAAAATACGAAATTCCAGAAATTCAAAAGCATCCATCCTGAACAACAAGAAGAAAATAACACAGCACTAAATGAAATTAACAGACAAGAAGTTATCCAGCTGCCAGGGTAAAATTAAAAGCTGGTGGACAGGTAGATCCAGCCCTTCTAAATATACAGATAGAGCTGAACTACTGCTCCTGCTTGAGCCCATTGTTAACCTTTAGATTAGAGATCTGATGTTTCCTGTGCTTGAGTTATTAAATACTTGTACAGAAGGAAACCATTTGTGGTGGGCTCAACATTCAGTCTATATAAAATTATTACTAAATTCTACCAGTTTCCTATGGCACTCAAGATAGCGTCAAAACCCAAAACAAGTCAAATGACTAATTATGGGCATTGAAGTTCCAACATCAAACAACAAAGGCACAAAATTAATTAAAACAGGGATATAGTAATCAAGGAAAAAACAGAATACAATTACTCTTTTTTTTCCTGCAGTACAACATGGTGCCTTAGGACCAAACTAAGATATACTACTTCCCAAAAATTGGACTGTGAAAGACTAAGCAAAATAAGGGGAAAAAAAAGAAAGGCCACGAAAAAGAACCTGAACAAGCAAAAATTACAAACCATTCCCGCAATTAGAATAAAACTTTCAGGGTTGGTGCACCTAGGCATACGCCTTCTCTATCCTTTATATAGGATAAAGAAAAGGAAATTTGAAAGAATTCTCAAGATGATGGGACCCAACTAAAAAAACAGCATACCCATCTCAATGCATAAAAAGACCGGAAAATTAACTAAATTTCCACACATGACATAGATAAAACAGCATTTCATTCGTTTATCTAGCCCACAATTCTCACAGGAAATGATTATTCGCATTCACTTGGAGAGTACACAGTTGATAGTTGTTCACCGCATTTGCATCAACACTTCAAAGATATGAAACGAATGAAGAAAAAGAATATAACTAGAAACCATATGCTCAGAAATAGAACATAACAACGGCTTAAAGATCAAAGAGGTGCTTGCCTGCCCAAGTGTTCTTGTGGATCTAATGCCTGTACTTGTGCAATTGTGGTGATGCTGGGGGTCCTTATAAAGAGTCAGGAGGTAGAGATGAATTGTGTGAAGCCATCAACAACTGTGTGAAAGGCTGGAAACCTCTGGTGTTATGTTCATGCAGAGGAAGGAAGCAGGGTTCACGTTTCTCTGAAGTCCCCAGTCCCCACAGAGCCTTACTGTAACGTTCCCTTTCTTAGTTTTTCCCTTTCAGTCCTTGCCATTTGGCATAAATACAAGAAAGTACATTTCTCTTAAAAATCGTTTTTTCTCATTTCATGAAAATGCATGGAGTACTTGAGTATAAGCTCCCCTGGGGTAGGACATGTTAACCTACAAAGATGATAATCCACTAACTGTGATCTTGATGCCTATATTTGCATATTTGCCTTCCTTTAATAAAGATGGCAAAAGTTTCTGTCGTTTCCAATTTTACGTATAAAACAGGCAAGAGAAAGACCATAGGCGCATGATGAAGGTGATGTTAGGTGGAGATGCCGTAACGCAAACAAATCATCTGATACATACGAAAAATTTTACATAAGAGGTTGTTTCCAAGCCTGGAAACTTTGTCGTGCAGCCTTCCCCTCTATAGACAACTGTAGAAATGCTAACTCATGGATGCCTTTTTTTCGAAATGTTGTTTTGTTTCAGACTTCTTTTTGCTGGAGGGAACTACAAGACAAGCTAATTTCATGCAAACAGCAGGGATAAAGGTGCTCCAGCTGGGGAATTTGTCATTATGTAACATCTGTCACGATACGCATGAAACCTTTAAGGGGAAAAAAAGAAAACCGAGCTGGAACTAACGGTGGTAAGCTGGTTTCAGAGCTCACGCAAGGTCCATTCACAAAGCTCAATAAAGCTTTCAGATAAATACCAAAATGACTTTTCAATTTCCATATGTTGCCACTTCTATCTTGCTCTCCAGTCTCAGTTCATTTGAGTTCTATTTTACAGTAAAATTGATTCGCATTTGTGAAATATGAGCTCAATCTTATCCGATTTCTTATGATGCTAAAAAAAATAGAGATGAACCATGCTTCAGAGAACCAATGATGGGACCGAGAAAACTCGAGTAAAGTCTTGATATAATATGAAAAATATTTATTAGTACAAAAGTATATTATTAAATTTGTTTAATGTATTTTACTGTGCAATATAACACTTGTAGTTCCATGTTCAGTAAAAATATATTTAGGAGTTTCACAAGGCAATTCTGAATCTTAACATATTGTAAACATTATTCTCATAAACAGAAGAACTTAGAATGTTGTACCTTTGAACTCATCTCTCCAAGGCAGTCCAGTTTTCTTGCCTATAAAACATGAATTTGCATTGTACACCAATACATGGCTATGGCTATATGTTCAACAAGCAACACACCGTCAAATACTGAAAGAGAGACCGTTCTTATGACTTTTGAAAGTAACTAGTCATTGATCCAAGCATTTGCACAGGTAAATTAACTGCTAGTCAATTCTGTAAGAGGGTCCAGTTCTGAAGGAAAAGACCATTTAAATCAAAAAGATATTGTAACTTCCCATTTTCAAAATAAATATAACTGAAAAATTGAAGAAACTATTTTTTTACAACTTTGAGATAGCACTTCACTTGAAGGAAAAAAGTACAGGTCAAACTATCGTAATCTAAAATATAGAAACTTGTTCTTTTTATTCTGTCAGGATTTGTTTCTCTGCCAAGCCGAAGGGATTGAGCATAATCCCCTTCTCCTTTTGTCCAAACAAACTATTATAAGGTGTCATATTAGTACATTTCTTGCTCCTCCATTAAACCTTGAGTTATACTGTTCAGGTTTTGATCCTTTTCAGCAAACACCATACAACATACAAAAGAAAAAAAAAGGAAATAATTGGTTATCTCTTTGTTCAATCAATGCAATCCTTTTGAACTTTGTTATATATATATATATATATATATATATGGTTGTATGCTTCAATCCAGTTGAAACATGCCTACTTGTTTGACACGAACTCTTTGCATATAAAAGAATTCTGGAAACATTGTGCTACCGATGCTACACTTATCTTAATATTGGATACATAAGGATGAACGCAACGCAAACCTATCCCCTCCATCATATGCAAACTCAAAAGAACCACCACCGCTGTACTAGGGAAATGAATGGGAATGTGTCCAAAACATAGCTTACCATTTTGTTGCAGAAGGGACATTAATGATGAGAATGATATGAGTAATTGAGTACTTAGGGAAACAGGGAGTTAGTGGCACCGAGCGTGTCGCCGAGACGGTGAAGCGGAGGACGAGATGGTGGTACAGGGCATCCCGTGCAGGATTGGCCTCCGGATGTATAAGCCAATCCGGGAGCGTCGCCACCGGGGACCGGAACCCGGCAGCGGTGCCGCGGGGGAGGAAATCGGGGCGACCGAGGAAGCGACGACGGGTCCATCACCATCAGGCTCCGCGTCGCGTCGATGGCTTCTCGCGGACCGCTGGGGACTGGACGCAGGAGCGCTAGGGTTTTCACGGTGGGGAGCGCTCCCGCCGGCGCCGGCGCCGGAGCCACCGCACCGGCGATGTCCGTCTCTGCTGTCCCGGCGGAGCATTTCCGGCCTTCCGGGGGAAGCGTGGGTGAAGCCGTCAGGAATTAGGCCTGTCAGGTGCGATCGGTTCTGGGCTTTTACCACGCTCTCGGCTTGCCATCGTTTGGAAAAAAGTACACCGAAGGTCCCTCCTTGTCATCAAGTTACAAAATCGTCCATGAACCACGAAACCAGATACAACACATTCCCCAACTTATAAAACCAGTGTGAACTAGGTCCCTCGGTTTAACTTCGGGTTTATCCAACATGACAGCTGACTTAGTGTGGGACCCAAATGAGCCCCACATGTCAGCCTCTTCTTCCCCTCCCTTGTCTTCTCTCTATCTTGAATATGGCATGTTTAGGCGTACACGGTGGTCCTCTCATGCCACTGACAGTAGGCCCATCTAAGTTATCGAAGAGACCGCTTTCACCTCGAAAAATGCTAACACAAATATTTTTACAGTTTAATTTCATGCCATTGTAAATTTGCTAATTTAAAAAAAATATCACTACTATTTGCAATATCAGCAAGGGCGGATCCAAGGTGGGTGCAGGGAGGACTCGAGTCCCCCCTACACCCACAAGACCCATGGATACCCCCCGGAGCACCCCCTTCAATTTTTTCACCATGAATGATAAACTAAAGGTTCCTAAATGGTTGGAAATTGAAGAAACAGTGTAATTGAGCCCCTCCAATATTTTGTTCCTGGATCCGCCCCTGGATATCGGGTATATGCCATTGGAATTTTACAAAATTTGAGCTATGCCACTCCATCACAATTTTTGTCACCCTCTCCTTCGACGATGGCGGCGGGCTCAGCGCACAGCGTGGAGTCATCGCATGCGACGGTAGGGAAGAAGAGGTGGTGCGGGTCTCCGTCCCCAACCTTGCCTCCATGGCTCCACCATAGTGTCGTCGGCCACAGCTTATGGGGGCATTATCAGCAAGGAAGACAATGGGGGAGAAGAAGAGGTGGCGGGTCTCCATCCCAATATAACTGTAGATTCATTGGCCGCGGCACGTGGGGCTCCACCGGCAAGGAAGATGACGGTTCTAGACGCCGCTCCCCTCCAGTGCGGGGATTAGGCTTAGCGCTCCCCTCCATCTTTCACCGGCGGCGTGGGGTCTGTGACCGCCACTCCCCTCCAACGCATGGGTTGGGCTCGGCGCTTCCCTCCACCTTCCACCAGCGATGCAGGGTTCATGACCGTCACTCCCCTCCAGCTCCACCTCCCTTCATTGGGTATTAAGCTTGCAATCGTCACCGGATTGGCAACGCCCTCATCGAAGAAGCTCTCTCCGTGCAGTCGTCGACGAGCCTGAGAACCGCCAGATTTTCGCCTGAGTTGAAGAAGAAACTGATCTGCGTTGTGCGGTGTTGAGCTAACAGAGGTATTGACAGTTGTTGTAACGGAGTGGCATAGCTCAAATTTTGCAAAATTTCAGTGGCATGAACCTGATATCGTGAATAGTAATGGCAAATTGGTAAACTTGCAATAACATGATCCAATTAACCCATATCTTTGGGGAGGCTAATGCGCACGTACGTGCTAGCAATTTAGCTGGCGCCCGCGTCAGTTGGCCCCCTCCCCTGTTCCCGCGTGCTTTTCTTTCTCACTTTTTTTTTACGATTTTGGCGCCTGGATCCGGGTGCGTTTTTCTTTTTTTTCGCCATTTCTTTCTATTTTTTTAATCTTTCGCACACCCCTTTACAAATGTAGAGTTGAAAGTTTTAAATTTTGACTTCAAAGTTTTTAAATTTGACTTGAAAGTTTTCAAATCTGAGTTGAAAGTTTTAAATTTGAGTTGAATTTTTTCAATTTGAGATGAAAAGTTGAAAGTTTTCAAAATTTGACTTTAAAAAAAATTCAAATTTCGAGTTGAAAGTTTTCAAATATGGGTTGAAAGTTTTCAGAATTTGACTTGATGTATAAATTTCTTTTCAATCTGTTACTTTAAAAAATTTTCGGAAAAAACAAATCTTATCTTGATTATCTAAAACTAATGTATTTTTTTACACGCTAAAACTAATGGACTAGTTACTACATGCGCTATGGAAAGAATCTAACCGCGCCCGTGCGGTGCCGTGCATACGCGTGGGCCAGAAGTGCGCGCCCGCGGCGCGTATGCGAGAATTAGGAATTCTGCATATTTTTACCACGTAAACGAAATAATTGCATACATTTTTTTTTCTGGGCCAGTAAGTAACCAACGTGTATCAGCCCAAACCAAACAACAATTAAGAAAGCCCAGCCAAAGCGAGGCAGGCGAGCGGCCACCCGCACGGCACCAAAGCCTCAAAAATTGAGAATCATCAACGCTTGAGAGGATAACACACACCAGAAACCGATAAGGGACACGAAACAGGGGAATCCGGAGCAAAGTGCGACGCGAGCGCGCGAGGAAGCAGCAGCCATGGCGCTCTCCCTCTCCACCTCCTTCCTCCCGACCCAAGCCGCCGCGGCGGCCACGAGGACCACCCTCCGCTCCCTCGTCCCCTCCCAGGTACGATTCCTTCGATGCCCCCACAACCGCGTAGGCGTAGCGCCGCCGAATCGGAGATTCGGAGGAGGTGATTGGAACTGGGCGGTGGTGTGACGATTTGCCGTGCAGAGGATGCGGTGCTCGATGCGGAAGAAGGGGCTGCACCCGGAGATCTACGAGGACGCGAAGGTGTACTGCAACGGGGAGCTGGTGCTGGTGACGGGGGGAACCAAGCCGGAGTACACGGTGGACGTGTGGTCGGGGAACCACCCCTACTACGTCGGCGACACGTCGGCGATGGTCGTCATGGACAGCCAGATCGAGAAGTTCCGCAAGAAGTGGGGCCACATCAAGGAGTACTGGCCCGAGGACCAGTGGAGGGAGATGCACCCCGACGGCGACCCGGAGTTCGACCCGGAGGAGGAGGGATCCGCCGGCGCCAGCTGAGCCCCCGCTTCGCCTCTCGCCTCCGCCGCCGGCCTCGCCGGTGCGGTTTCTCTTGGTTGATTTTGGGAATTGCGTAAAATGGATTAGCTCCTCTTGCTTGCGCCTCTCGTTACACGTGCATTCGCATTGCTCTCTAGGTGTTCGATCGGTGTTCTCAGTGGATACGTGTGATCATATTTGTGGTATCGAACTGTTTGTTCTCTGCCTGTACTCTTTGACATCGATATAAAATGGAGATATTGCAATTTGCACACTCTGTAATTGGACATTTCCAACTCGTTGAATCGATGCATGCTAGTGTTGGTCTGGGCTCTCGAATAGAATCGTTGCATACATCAGTTTGTCCGGTCTTCAGAATAAGCAGTAAGGGGCTGTTAGTTCACGTACTAACATTGCTAAGGTTTACCATGTTTTCTCGCTAAAGTTGAGGCCATCAAAATCCAAGCCACGCTCTAGCCAATAAAGGCTATGTTTAGTTCCCAAAAACTTTTCGCAAAAACATCACATCGAATCTTTGGACACATATACGAAGCATTAAATATAGATAAAAAAAATTAATTACACAGTTTACATGTAAATCGCGAGACGAATCTTTTGAGTCTAATTAGTCTATGATTAGCCATAAGTGCTACGGTAACCCACATGTGCTAATGACGGCTTGATTAGGCTCAAAAGATTCGTCTCGTGGTTTCCAGTAACCCACATGTGCTAATGATGGCTTAATTAGGCTCAAAAGATTCGTCTCGTGGTTTCTAGGCGAGTTATGAAATTAGTTTTTTTTTATTCGTGTCCGAAAACCCCTTCTAACATCTGGTCAAACGTCCGATGTGACACCCAAAAATTTTCATTTCACCAACTAAACAGGCCCAAAATAAAAGCATGCCACACTTTTTAGAGTCACTTACATGTGAAATCTAGATTATAAAAGAGGAATCTTGCCACATTTGTGGAACCCAAATAAACACTCACCTAACATGATTAAACTTGTCTAACCTCAAGTGTGGCAACTTATGGTCATCATCCAAACAGCCCCTAAGTGCCTTAAACATGTACTCTATACTTGTACAACCATACATACTAACTATAAGGAGTCCGAAAACCCCTTCTGACATCCGGTCAAACGTCCGATGTGACATCCAAAAATTTTCATTTCACCAACTAAATAGGCCCAAAATGAAACCATGCCACACTTTTTAGAGTCACTTAGATGTGGAATCTAGATTATAAAAAAGAAATCTTGCCACACTTGTGGAAGCCAAATAAACACTCACCTAACATGGTTAAACTTATCTAACCTCAAGTGTGGCAACTTATGGTCATCAACCAAATAGCCTCTAAGTGCCTTAAACATGTACTCTATACTTGTACAGCCATACATACTAACTATAAGGAGCGTTTGGATAATGGGTAAGGAAAAGAGATAAGGGGCGTTTGGATAATGGTCAAGGATAAAGGGATGGATAACTAATCCTAAACCCCCCACAATATTAGCTGTAGATGAGTTGTGACCTGTATGGATCAAATGAATTTTGAAGGTTTGGAACAAAGGAAATAACATCTTAAATTCTGAAGGAAAGGTGAGATATTTGAATTCCTTAGTTTCTCACTTTATCATATACAGGCGAGGTGGTATATGATAATTGATATCCCTTTCCCACCCTCTCAAACCCATTATTAACCAAATAGGTCAAGGCTTTCTCTTGCATTGGTACATTTTTGGATTTTGTAACACCAAACCAGCAGGGCTTACACCTCTACCACGTTTTTTTTAAAAAAAAAATAGAAAGAGAAAGAAAAGAAGAACAGAAAGGTGGAGTTTCGGCAAAAAAAAAAAAAGTGCATCACCTTGTCAAAATGCAGTCACTTTAAACCGTTGTTGTGTAGCTTCCATCCTCCTATTCAGACGGCTTGTATAATACAGAGATAATAGGCTTGTATAATTGTAGTACAAGTCTAGTCATTTATATTAGTAGCTTCGTATAGTTAATTAATAAAATAAGTCTAATTTCTATGCGAGCGTAGCTCAACTAGTTAGGTTGACATAGGTGCTCACATTTACGGCTAATTATTCTTTCAGTGGTTTCTAAAAAAAAAGTTCCAATTTCTCTATCTAGATTCTGGTTTTGAATATGGGGTGAGTGCATACGCGTTGTGAGCGGGTTTTGAATATGGATAATTATTCTTTCAGTGATTTCTAAAAAAAATGTCTAATTTATCTGTAGGTTCTGGTTTTGAATATGGGGTGAGTGTACGTGCATTGTGAGCAGGGGTTATATCCTATCTTACTATAAAGTTATAGCCCACTAATTCTAAAGCTCAACATGCAAACATGACACCTCATTATCCACTAGCAATAATTACATACAAAACTTATGTAAGCATGCAACATCATCTATAATTCATTGAATTCTACAAATCAACATCCAACCATCTTCCTTCACATTATTTTTCACAATATTTTAAACATATATATATATATATATATATATATATATATATATATATATCTTAACATAGTTTGACAAATCAGTTTTATTTATTGTTAATAACTAATATAAATTTTACTTTTAGCTCGATTATTAAAAAAATATTAAAAGTTACTTAGGAATTTTCGCAGCAAAGTACGGGGAATCACTAGTTTAAGAGATGTTAATCCACACCCTACAGTTGAGAATTTGCATGAATGAAACACAATATTTACTAGATGCTCAGTAAAATAAAAAAAATATGTTTTTTAGTGATAGAAAATTCAAAAGGTACGCCCTTTCATCCCAAAATATATGCATTTTCAGTGTCTAGATTTATAACCAAAAGTTGTTATATTTTTGGGACGGAGGTAACAGTACATTGTATTATATGGGTTGGTTCTGCATATCCTCGTATGTGTTGGTTTTGTAATACATACGCTATCAGTGCCATTTCTACAATATATGTCGAATTGTCGATACCATAATAACCAGCGCATATAATGGGTTAAAGGTTTCTGCAAGTGTGTCTACGTTGATTTTGCAGCGAGCCGGCGAGTTATCTAACCAGCCGTTGTGGATGAACACTTCTACTATAAACAATACATACAACGGTATAAATGATACGGAGATACGTAGAAGACCGTCTATTTTACTAATCAATGAACAACATTCTCATGATTCTCTCTCGTCACTCTATAGTCCTAGTACTACATAGCAAACCTATCAAAAGAGTAAGATCAAGTTATTATTGTTATTATATATATATATATATATATATATATATATATGATCTATAGTTGATAATCTATGGAGAAATAAATTACACAACTAATAATAATTATAGGATATATCTCTACTATTATAAAAATTGAAGATGTTTTTGCCGGTACTTTGATACGTTATCTTTACTAGTAATATGCCCGTGTTAAATGTTACGGTGCAATTCTTTTTGTTTGTATTTTTTTTAAAAAAAATTCATGTTACCAAAAAATATTTTTATATGATCTGTGCATTTGAACTTTAATTAAAATCATATCGTACATTAAATATATTTCATGTAAAGTGCAGTACTATGATATTACGTGGGCATACTAAAATTTTACAAGACTTAATTATATATAATCACTTAGTACACAATATAAAAGGGCAATATACGCTAAAAATATGTTAGAGAAGTATAGAGTTATTCCATTATTTATTGCGGGCAGAAAATAAAGCATTTGTTACATATATAAAATACACCCCATAGGTAAATAACTATTCTAATGTTTTGCAGTTGCATTTCTAACTTTTTCCAACCAGACCGAATTCAGCCCAACCCAGCCAACTCTTCACTTTAGAAGCGTGTGGGGGAGACAGAAGAAAAAAAATAATTCTACTTTTTGTTTATAATATTTTTTCTCTATCTTTTCAGATCACTACTTGTAGATATATTTTTTATACGTATTAGTATAATGCAATTAGATGCATATGGTTATATAAATTATCATGCATCTATATATTTTTTTTATGGAATGAACTATGGGTTTTTTATTTCATTGTGACACACATTTCATTTCTCAATGGTTTTGATATAAAATATTTATTCATCTCATGCGTGTCTTTTTTTTTGTGAGTGGCATACGTATGGTTATATCTATGGGCGGCATTATAATGCCTTTACGTTGTTGATATTTTATACGGTCTATATATCCTATATTTCTATTATACCATTGAATGAAATAGATATATATTCATTTAAGTTGTATGGAAGAACCATATAGAAGATATAGAACAAAAAAATTAATCCAAAAAAATTTTGTAAGCATGCATCCATTAATGTATACAAAAATTTTGTCTATATTTTTCCTTCATATCTACTCGGCTTCAATTATTTTCCCAGTATATTGAGATCATGTTCCTTTTATGGAGGAGTTGGGAACACATCTGGCAGATGATGGTGTGCTGTACAAAACAAGAGGACGATGGTGACTAACATTCTGATTAGTAATTTACTATCTTCTGGAATATGTTTTCAAAATAATTTTGATCTTGCGAACCTACCTTTGCTCACCAGTCAAGAATGTCTTTATAGACAATATTCCTGGTGCTCTTCCCTGCAAGGTCAACCTCTTTCTTAGGCTTAGCCAAAATCCTTGTTGTTTGTCGTGACACACCCCTTGAGAATGCGATGTATAACTGACCATGTGAAAATATGGGTTCTGGAAGATAGATCCCAACATTTGGGATAGTTTGTCCTTGTGATTTATTTATGGTCATTGCAAAACTGAGACGGATTGGAAATTGCTTCCTCTTGAATTTGAAAGGAAGAGATATATCATCAGAGGGAGACAATGGGATCCGTGGGATGAATACCCTTTTGTTGGCGCGCTGTCCACCAACAATCTCAGCGTCAATTACATTGTCTTGAAATGTCCTAACCATTAGTCTTGTTCTGTTGCATAGACCATTGTTAGGATCAAGGTTGCGGAGGAGAATAACAGGACAGTTGACCTTCACTTTAAGCTCATGGGGAGGGAGGCCATTTGGAGTGATCGTGTTCAGAAAGTCCAAAGGGTAGCTATTTTGGGTATCATCATCGATTGAATCAAAGCTGTGGTAAATCTTTTCCTTTCCAGGAAACCTATCAATCATCTTCATGTTTAGCTTATCCACGAAATCATTTTTTGTTGAGAGGATGGCCCGTGTGCTCATATATTCCACGGAGGTCGTATTTCTCTCATCATCAAGCGAGGGGAACACATATTCAATCAATGTGTTCACTGAATCTTCATTGTCCAAATAACCAATGACAATTTCATCAGGCAGACGGACGTAATCATCTACGATCGTGTTTTTAGTCCCGTTTCCAATCCTAAGTAGATAATCTGAAAACCAAGGATCAGATTGTGCCCTCATGTTATGCGAAAGGCTTATCTTCCTTATATTCTTCCATAAATAAGATCTCTGCAAGGTAGCATCAGTTATCTGTGCCCTTGTCCCACGTGTCACCACAGGAAGAACTTGTCTAAAATCACCACCAAATACAATGACCTTTCCTCCAAATGGCAACGTATTGTCCATAATATCTTGTAGGGATCTATCAAGGGTCTCAACTGCCTGACGCTTTGTCATTGCAGCTTCATCCCAAATAATCAAGGATGCCCTGCGAAGTAGGTCTGCGGTGCCACTCTGCTTTGTGAAGTTACACATGCTATTATGAGCAAGCTTGATTGGAATTTTAAACCTCGAGTGAGCAGTACGTCCTCCGAGCAATATCGACGCTGCGATACCAGATGTCGCGGTTGCAATGGCTATTAACCCATCAGATCGCACCCTAGCAAGTAGTGCCTTGTAAAGGAATGTTTTTCCAGTGCCACCTGGACCATCAACGAAAAAAACCTGACTCTTCTTCTTAATCACATGTTGTATGATGTCATCAAACCCTGCACGTTGCTCATCGTTCAGAGATTTGTATATATCTAGATGCTCTGGGTCAATTGGCACAGACTGCTCCTCTCTGACTTTAATCGGTGTGTCGTTGGAAAAAACATCTGGTTGACGAAAGCATAACATGCGTCAGTTTTTCATTGATTATAAAAATAAAGACAATTAAGGTGACACTCCTATCACATATTACATGTATCAGTCAACTCAGGAAGACCATAGTCTGAGATATCCTTTCCCATGGAATGAAGTGTATCCCGTATGTCTCTAAGCACCATCTGCTCTACTGACATCGGGTTGGGATTATCTCGGGCATAATCTTCAGACATTGACTCCTTATGTTTGTGCCACAAAGCACATATATCAGTAACCTCACAATAGGCAAGTATAGTCACAAACAAGCGACGGAGTGCATATGGCATTTGGAAAGTTGCAGCCTCGCTCAAGCAGTCATCATGTGACATGTCTGTCTCAACAAGCCCACTCTTCTCGCATGCTTCTCTACAAGTGGAGTAAGTGATTCCACATACTGTTCTTAGATGCTCATGCGAGGTTGGACCTCTAACATGGTTCAGAAGCACCCTAAGATAGTATCTTTCTCCCTCCGCCGGGTGCGCATACACGATCCGTCCAACCTGGCAAGTCTTGGTTTTTCTTTTCTGCCATACATTTTTCCCTGCAACCCATCTATAGTGCTCCAGAAACTCCTTGTACAGTAACTTTCTTGCCTTCGGGTCTTTGCGATTCATTTCAAAAAACTCTGTAAGTGTTGTCTTTTTGTTAGATGGTTTGTTCACGACATCCTCAAGATTACCAGACTCATCATATGCAACATATTGCATGTTTGGCAAATGAAGCTGTAGCTGTAAAACCGCCGGATATATACCGAATAGTGGAAAACCAAGAATCCTATATATAGCCTCTGGCGGTGAAACATATCTGGCATCTCTATACTGCCGTATCTCATTGATTTCTCCAGATGGATCGACTGAGAACGACGCACAGTCATGTCCTTTATATACATATTTATATAGATACTTCACAGATTTGATGCTTGCACAAGCTTCAACATTGATGTGGCAATTATACCTCATGAGCAAGCCAGGATTGTATGGGACCACCCACCTATTGTCCAACACCGCACCTCTAATTTTTACATGCCACCCGTCATCTCTCCTCCTGTAAGAAGGATAAGAGTCCTTCCCTTGTTGTGTTGCTTGACAGAACAGTCGGGGAAAGTTGAAGCGACACTCTCCATCCACCATGCATGCGCACTTTTTTGTTTAGCTCACCGCACGGCCCATGCAACATATGCTTTATGACCAGACGATGTAGCACGGGGTATTTTTCCTTGTCTGGTATCTCTGCACATATAACTTTATCATAACCATCTAGGTTTGTTAACTTGCTACCTGGCTTCATGATTAATAGGATATGTTCATGTGGGAGGCCCCGCTTCTGAAACTCGGTAACGTGAGCATATGCCTGAACCTCACCGTAATACTTTTTCTTGGTGAACAAATCTAACATGTCTCGTAGCTTGGCCCTGAATACCCTTGCAACAAGGTCCGGTCGATCTTGCGGCTGTTGGCCAGGATAGAGATTTTCTGTTATCTCCTCCCAATTTGGATTGCAGGTCATCGTGATGAAGTAGTATGGTCTCCCGAAACGTTGGACAAGAGCCATTGCATTAAGAAACCACCGCTGCATGTCGCGATCGCCACCAGGAAAAGACCGAGGTAGAACAATCCTCTTTCCTACCTCTTTACCCCTTGTCTCTCCAGAATTGATCACGTTGACGACACCCTACAAAATAGATAGCATGAGCATATATTAGCAGCATCGATTTTTGAATGGGATATGGTTTAATATTATTGAATATGTATTTTATTTCATTCACCTGGTACAGCTCAGCTCGTATCTTCTTTTGGTTCTCAGGGTTAGAATACCAATCCAGGGCATAGACTCTATCTTAATGTATATGTCAACGGCCCATTGCTGGAAGAGACGACGTCCAAATAAAATAATGTTGAAAAGTCCCCTCCGAACCTGTAGCCTAAAGCAATAGTACTCTCTTGCAGTGACAAATCTATCTTTCTTCCGCTTGCATGACCTGTTATCCACCTCATTAGTGTCTTCATCGTATAAAGTATTGCCAACGTCATCATTCTCTGCAACAAAAATCAAGAAATATACTTAATTCCAATGGCCTAAAAAAGTATATATATATATATATATATATATATATTGGTAAGGTCTCATACAAGCTAAGTTGTACATACCCGGAGGCTCGCCAAAAGTGTTTTCTTTGCTTGACAGAACAGTCGGGGAAAGTTGAAGCGACACTCTCCATCCACCATGCATGCGCACTTTTTTGTTTAGCTCACCGCACGGCCCATGCAACATATGCTTTATGACCAGACGATGTAGCACGGGGTATTTTTCCTTGTCTGGTATCTCTGCACATATAACTTTATCATAACCATCTAGGTTTGTTAACTTGCTACCTGGCTTCATGATTAATAGGATATGTTCATGTGGGAGGCCCCGCTTCTGAAACTCGGTAACGTGAGCATATGCCTGAACCTCACCGTAATACTTTTTCTTGGTGAACAAATCTAACATGTCTCGTAGCTTGGCCCTGAATACCCTTGCAACAAGGTCCGGTCGATCTTGCGGCTGTTGGCCAGGATAGAGATTTTCTGTTATCTCCTCCCAATTTGGATTGCAGGTCATCGTGATGAAGTAGTATGGTCTCCCGAAACGTTGGACAAGAGCCATTGCATTAAGAAACCACCGCTGCATGTCGCGATCGCCACCAGGAAAAGACCGAGGTAGAACAATCCTCTTTCCTACCTCTTTACCCCTTGTCTCTCCAGAATTGATCACGTTGACGACACCCTACAAAATAGATAGCATGAGCATATATTAGCAGCATCGATTTTTGAATGGGATATGGTTTAATATTATTGAATATGTATTTTATTTCATTCACCTGGTACAGCTCAGCTCGTATCTTCTTTTGGTTCTCAGGGTTAGAATACCAATCCAGGGCATAGACTCTATCTTAATGTATATGTCAACGGCCCATTGCTGGAAGAGACGACGTCCAAATAAAATAATGTTGAAAAGTCCCCTCCGAACCTGTAGCCTAAAGCAATAGTACTCTCTTGCAGTGACAAATCTATCTTTCTTCCGCTTGCATGACCTGTTATCCACCTCATTAGTGTCTTCATCGTATAAAGTATTGCCAACGTCATCATTCTCTGCAACAAAAATCAAGAAATATACTTAATTCCAATGGCCTAAAAAAGTATATATATATATATATATATATATATATATTGGTAAGGTCTCATACAAGCTAAGTTGTACATACCCGGAGGCTCGCCAAAAGTGTTTTCTTTGCTTGACAGAACAGTCGGGGAAAGTTGAAGCGACACTCTCCATCCACCATGCATGCGCACTTTTTTGTTTAGCTCACCGCACGGCCCATGCAACATATGCTTTATGACCAGACGATGTAGCACGGGGTATTTTTCCTTGTCTGGTATCTCTGCACATATAACTTTATCATAACCATCTAGGTTTGTTAACTTGCTACCTGGCTTCATGATTAATAGGATATGTTCATGTGGGAGGCCCCGCTTCTGAAACTCGGTAACATGAGCATATGCCTGAACCTCACCGTAATACTTTTTCTTGGTGAACAAATCTAACATGTCTCGTAGCTTGGCCCTGAATACCCTTGCAACAAGGTCCGGTCGATCTTGCGGCTGTTGGCCAGGATAGAGATTTTCTGTTATCTCCTCCCAATTTGGATTGCAGGTCATCGTGATGAAGTAGTATGGTCTCCCGAAACGTTGGACAAGAGCCATTGCATTAAGAAACCACCGCTGCATGTCGCGATCGCCACCAGGAAAAGACCGAGGTAGAACAATCCTCTTTCCTACCTCTTTACCCCTTGTCTCTCCAGAATTGATCACGTTGACGACACCCTACAAAATAGATAGCATGAGCATATATTAGCAGCATCGATTTTTGAATGGGATATGGTTTAATATTATTGAATATGTATTTTATTTCATTCACCTGGTACAGCTCAGCTCGTATCTTCTTTTGGTTCTCAGGGTTAGAATACCAATCCAGGGCATAGACTCTATCTTAATGTATATGTCAACGGCCCATTGCTGGAAGAGACGACGTCCAAATAAAATAATGTTGAAAAGTCCCCTCCGAACCTGTAGCCTAAAGCAATAGTACTCTCTTGCAGTGACAAATCTATCTTTCTTCCGCTTGCATGACCTGTTATCCACCTCATTAGTGTCTTCATCGTATAAAGTATTGCCAACGTCATCATTCTCTGCAACAAAAATCAAGAAATATACTTAATTCCAATGGCCTAAAAAAGTATATATATATATATATATATATTGGTAAGGTCTCATACAAGCTAAGTTGTACATACCCGGAGGCTCGCCAAAAGTGTTTTCTTCACTGACATGTACATTACCACCCATTGGTGCAGCACTTGGTGCATCAATGTTCATACCATCAGGAATATTGTTGGGTGTTTCGTACGGCATTTTGACATTCCATCCGGTTTCGCCGTTAGGGTTAAATAAAGGATACGCCAACAGGTCATAGCAACCATTGTATGCTTTGATATAGCTAGGTTTCTCCCCTTTGGCATGCACCATCACATGCCTATCAAAAGTTCTAACCGGATCATCCCCTTCTAGCCAGATAGCAGCAACTTGGGATGTTGTAGGAGCATTATATCTTCGTTGGTCAGGGGTGACATTCGTGTTGATCTCAATCTTATAGTCATCTAGATTTGGCATGCTACCGACTCGGTTAAAAGTCTCAACATATGGGTTATCCGCCAAGATTCTTAGGATGATTCGCACAAGGTTGATATCAAGATCAGGGGACCTATTTGCTCTGTGTGCAAGATCAGTGTCTTCTTCCGTATCGTAGAAGTACAACTGCATATGACGTGGACCATGAGAACCTGGCACCAAATTATCTAAACGATGGTACAATGCACCGTGCACTTGAAATGTATATACACCGGTGCCTGCAGCAGTGCTCACGTTGTGGTCAAGGGTCACTCCAAGACTTGTGAATGAGAAATGTGAGTTGAAGTAACGAATATGTTTTCTAAAGTAATTCGCATCATTATCAACCTGGCTTGTAAACAGGCGTACCAACTCAAGGGGGACCAATGGAGTGGCTACTGTTATCTTCCCTTGCCTGCAGCAGAATCCAGGGGGCTCGTACTGAAACCTAATCGCCCCACAGTACTTACAATTAGCCACTTTTTTTAACACATGATGTTTCTTTGGCAGGTTATGATAAACATAATCGTATGGATCTTCAGTATCAACAGAATTAACACCCTTGATATCCAAGCGATATGACTCGTAACTATCGTCTGAGAGAGGAAAAGTAAGCACAGAATTAAAATATGATCATATATACCTACTTGTGTTGCAAATAGAAAAGTATTATTATACTTTATGTTACCTTTATTTTGCAATTCCTCATCATCACTATCCACGACGTCACATGTCTGCGTCAGTTCGACATTACCTGATGGAAGGTGGATTAGTACACATAATAATGTATAGTTGGGTTAATATAATGCATAGTAAAATTGTTTATAAAAAACATCCAGCATTAAAATAATTTCAGAATGCTCACCTTCGTCGTCATAATTGTTTAGTAGAGGTTCGAATAGTCTACTATCGAATTCAATGTAATCGGAACTTGGAACATCCTGATGAACAGCTTGGACAGGTATACTTTCGTCTTGTGTAACTCCATCTGCTTAATCAATATTTCATGAAAGAATAAATTGAGCGGATGTTGAAATATTGATTTCTGCATTGAATTTTATAGAGATGGAGATTACCTAGGATGGGTGAGTGTTGGTCATGTTCAATGCTAACTACTTTCCTCTTCCTACATTGTCTTTGGTAGGTATCATTTCTGTGAAGCCAATCCACAGGATCATCTAGATCAACAGCTTCCTTGTCTAATACACTTGTTGCTTGCAAAACGGTAGAATATGTCGTTCCATATGGTGAAACTAGATGAAAAAATTGTCAGAACAATAGATTAAATCAAAATGTTGATTCTGACAGTAAATCTTACCATTATGATTGGTTGATTCAGAATTTGATCCGCTAACAATGTTTGACTCAGCCTTCTTCCTCGCACGGTATTCACGTTGCTTTCTGTTCCTTTCCTCATTTGCTGGTTGGACGGGTGTTAAAGAGCTCACACTCCCATCAAGATTAGTTAACCCCAGCTTCTTCTTTTGGCGATATTCACGTTGCTTACGGTTCCTTTCCTCTCTGGCATCTTTGGTAGTTTCAGCTAGCCGGGCATTGACAACTTCACTTCCCATAGAAAGAGAAGCAGTTGTTGGTTGCATCAGTGTACCAGAACACGGGGTAATTGCTGCAGCCTTTTTCCTTGCACGACATTCACGTTGTCTTCGGTTAGCTGCTTCCCGCTTATGTAATACCTCATTGGAAGGTGTTAAAGGTGTCGTTTGCAATACATCTAGTCTGTTGGTAATATCTCCGAATGCAATACGCTCTTCAGTTTGTGGCCTCGTTGCGTCAACACCTAATTGCCAAATTTGTACATTAGTGGTTAATCCTAGCTTGCATAGTAGTGCCATAACCATACATTGCACTGTTTTAATCGTGTATTATGGCGAATTTGCTAAGTACATTAACACGACTATGAAATTGTGTGCAAGGTCAATCAAAGATATGACAGACACCATTTGGCTCAGATGCAACTATGAATATCTGGAGTTATATGGCACTATATGTTATATGGTTAATATTAGTGTGAAGTGCATAATTAAGGGACAATCATCACCAATCGCTCGACAATGCACACTTTATTGGAATGAACAACCAATGACATGTACAGCTGTCTGAAATAGACAATTGAAGTTCGTTTCAAATATTCACACGTGATGATTATGTTATCCAGAATTACATCCCAGTCAACTCTCAAAGTTGAGAAAAACAAATAATGTCTCACCCATTTTATCCATTATGCTTTCTGTCTACTTCAAGAAGCACTCCAACGGCTAATTACACTTGTTCTGCACATGTGGAAAACATTTAGCACTCCGTATGAGTCGTAATCACAAACATTATATACAGAATAATAAAAGATCATTAAAAAGAATTCAGTCATATGAGGAAACAACCAAAGTTCAGATAAGTTCAGAAATAACTTCTGACAAGCTCATATATAACCATCACTCAATGTCATTAACTTAAACACAGTTGCTTGCATTTCAAGTTCTGCATTTGCTTATAGGAAAATGGAGATTAAAACATTATCTGGATAGTCTACCGAGAGTATTTTCTTTTTATTTTCCTTATAAAAGCATTCAGAACACCAAAACTCACACAATATGTCTCATGAGTGTAATCATCACTCAATATAACACATCAGACAAAAAAAACAGCTCTGGATGTTCTTATGTCTTCCTTTAAGGAGTGCCATCTACAACCAACTTTTGAGCGAGACACTTTCTTGCATTAGGGCTTAGGCGTGCAGTTGGAAACTATATTGTGAAAAAAAAAAAACATTAGGAAACAACCATGTAAAAAAAACTATGCATGTCATACGAGGAAAAAACATTAGAGCAGTAACCATAATGGCTCCCATCATTTTTAAGTGAACTAATACATACAATTTTTTTTATACCAGAACCACTAATGTTGGCTCGCTGAACAGATGCTTCTTGCGATCCAAACAACGGACTATTTGATGAAAAGTGATATGCTCAATCGAAGCGACCATAATATTTTTATTACCTAGATGGATCATTTAATCAACAACAACTTGATATAATTCTGGGAATTAGTAGCCTAATTGTATCCAACTCAGTGCAGTTGAACTCACACAAGTAGTTGTCACGCCCGGAATTTCTATCCAAAATTCCAAACGCTTATGTATGTAAACCCTCGTCCAGGAATCAGCCGGGGCACACAATAACAAATTGATAATAGAGTGCAATTATTACTCTAATTAATAAGCGAATATAAAGTCATTACAGAGGTAGATAGTTCCTCTCAAACAATAAAGATCTAAGCAGCGGAAAATAAAATAAAAAGCTCAGGCGACTCCATCCCACAAGCAGCTTGACCAGGGCTACGCCTAACCCTCTACACCTTCAGCATCACTGTAGAACTCCTCCTCTGATGAATGATTGCAAGGTGAGTATATGACATACTCAACAAGCCACGCAGCAAATATGCAAGTGCAGGGGATAACAAAGGATGGCATAATATAGTCTCATTTGCATAAATGGCATTCAATAAATACTTCAGAATTTAGAAAAACAGTAAAGTATTTAATTAAACAATATTAATCCAACGCTATACAACATACCCGTTGCATAGGCCCAACCATTCTGAACAACCATTCCCGGCTGCACAGTTCTATCTCCAAACCAAGAATATACCGTTCCAAACTAGGAGCTAAACAAGTTATTAACAATTACAGCATCATTTATTATGGTGAGAGGTATGAGACTAATCACGAAAGATATTGTTAGACCCGCCCATAACCGCGGGCACGGCTATTCGAATAGTTTTACTCTGGCCAGAGGTGTACCACTGTACCCACAAGACACAACCTCAACATCATGTCAACCATGCGTCGCGATACTTAACAAGTACCCGAATAGAGATTGTGACAATACCCTCTGCATAACACAATTCAAAGCAGTGCACCGTTCCTGGACCATAATCACCCCCTTATAAAACAAGGCATGGACTCCCCAGCGACCCTCGTGGGCTTATCTCCGCCACTTCACAGTCTGGTGCTCCACAATGAACCACACTATACAAAAGGTAAAGCCGTTGCCCACGCTGGCTTGTGGTTAGCACGGTTAATGTTTCACAACCGAAAATCGTGAACCGGTCCTTAATTGTCATGAGCACGACCAACAAAACCATGTGCTCACAACCCACCATTACCATGTTTTAGTTGGCATCTTAATTAATCATCCTATCATGATTGACCATCATGAGCTACCATTAATCCAACATTAAGTAATAATGAACCATTAGTTATCCCATTCATATGAGCTAATGTCTCTAAGCATGGCTAAGCATCCTAATTACTTTAGCTAAAACCATATAATGCTCTAGCTAATCCAATTATTAACCAGGAGACAAAGTATAGGTAATCAATAACAAAAGGCTATAACAAAGGTAACAGGTCATTCCCACCCGATGACATTCAAAAATAAATGCACTAGTTGAATAAAAACAATAGCTTTAAACGGGATCAACATGCTCAAAGGGTTGTTTGGGATCTATGTGATTTGCCTTGCTGACCTTGGAACTCTTCAAAATCTTCTCCTGCAAATTCGGACTCTCCGGGAACGTCGGAATCGAAGCATAAAAGAGCAAAATCACCAAAACAGTACATAAACAATCATAAAAAACACATGTGGATATTTTTAACATGTAGATCTCAATTTTAGAAAAATTTAGAGACTTGAACAACCTAAATCCGAGCTAAGATGAATTAGTTATGAATTTTTAAAGATTAAATCGGATTAAATCATTTATTTAGATTTTAATTGAATTATGACGCAATAAAGAATTATTTTTGAAAAGGAAAAAGGATTTATTGCATTAGCGGGCTCGGGTTCACGGTGGACCGGGTGCACAGAAACGGTCTACGGAACGAACGGCTGAGATCTAATCTAAACAAAACGAACGGCTGAGATCGAACTGATCTACCACGGGTCTACGGCTGACGTGGCGCTGACGTTGACGATGACGTCATCACCGGCGGCGGCTCGGCACCCCGTACTCACCGGCGAACGACGGCGCGGCGGCGCAAACGGAGGGCACCAACGGGTAGAGGGCGACGCGACGAACTCACCGATGGCTCGGACGACGACGAACGGCAACCGACGGCGACGGTGGCGAGGTCGAAGCGGCGTAGGCGTTCGGGTCGACGACGACGGCGATGCTCCGGCGATCTTCGGTGGAAACGGAGGACGGGACGAGGACGGCGATGACTTGGCGAACCCGACGGCGGCCTTCCCGAGCGACGACGACGACCGGAGCGGCGACGGCGCACGACCGGACTTCCTTCGGCGGCCGCGGCACACGGGCTCTAGTGGCTAGGGCGCTACGAGTGGCGGCGAGCTGAGGCGAAGGTGGCGACGAAAAGAGGAGGTCTCGGGGGTCCTTTTATAGGGGCTAGGGGGCGGCGGCTAGGCCCACGGCGGCCGGCGACGAGAAGGAAGGTTTAGGGTTAGGAGGGTAAAACGAATCCGAATCGAGATCAAATCCGGCGATTTCCAAACAAAATTAGATGAAGTTTCTATAGGGGAAAAGATAGAGGGGATCGAAGGGATCATTTCCCCTCTACCAATTTGACCGGATCGGGAAAGAGGCGACCGAATTTTGGAAGGGGGCGGCGGCGGCTTGCGCGCGACTAGGGCACGGCTGCGGCGGGAGGTTGAAGACGGCCCTGACAGGTGGGCCCCACCTGTCAGCGGGAGAGAGGAGAGAGAGAGGGTGGCTCGGCTTGGCGGGCCGACTTGGGCCGAACGCGAGCAGGCCGGGGAGAGAGAGAGAGACTTGGGCCGACTTTCAGCCCAAAGCCAAAAGAGGACTTTTAAAACCTTTTTCTTTTTAAATTATTCATGAAATGCAATTCCATTTATTAAAAATACTTCCTGAAAAATCTAGGGACTATAGAATCAAGAGAATTATTTAACAAAATTTTATCTGGCCCACTTTTATATTGGAATTTATTATTTAAAATTAGATCTTTTCTTCAAGGCTTTTAAAATCATTTCTAATAATTCCATTTAAACAACAATTTATACACTTGGGATTTTTAGGGTGTGACAGTAGTGCAATTCACTCATTAACAATTGAACATATGCAATCATTATTGAACAATAGGATCATATCGCTTCAGCACTTCTTGCTTTTAATATCAAACACCCTATTGAACTTGACAGGACCTACCAGTGGGCAGTGCCGGTGGGCAGCAGGCGTGGAGATCCGCTAGGCGTCGCTGGTGTTGTCCTATAGGAAAATTATATAAGCATTTTCTAAAGGAAAATTTATATAAGCAAATCAAGAAGAAAGTACACTTGGGTCACTGCACATATAAAATATGATGAGGATAAATTATATTTTGAAGTCGAAAACAAATTCTGTCATATTTAGATCAAACTTATATGTTGCCAGAAATGAAATATATGTTAGATTCAACTTAGAAATTGCAGCTTTTGATCCCCTAATCTTCCTATACTAATTTGGTTATGTATATGAAAACAGAGCTGATGGTGATGGGTCAACAAACAGATGTGTCACTATGTACATCCAAATTGACATATACAATATTTCTATTTGACATCACAGAATGAGGGAAAAACAAAACAAAAGAATTTAGCTGTCATTATAGGATCATAGCAGTAACTGGCAGTGTTCTTGTATGCTGCATGTCGTTCCATTTAAGGTTGTTCACATAAAGTATGTTCAGGGATACCAGAGAGTTTCAGGCTGCTATCCAGTCATTTGACCATATAACTGGATTTATGCTACCGGCAGTTAGTGTAGGATCTAATGACAAACATAATGTTTTACAGGTATATGCTTAACACATAAATAATAATCTTAAGCTGGCACTACATGCACATGAATGACTCAAAGATTAACAGTAAACTACAATTTATCATTGATACAGTCAAAGCTAGTAGTTCACATGGGAAATAAATCTACTTTCACATTAAACAAATTAAACACCTCTCACAAGTAATGATTAAGGGGAATCAGTAAGTGCATATATCAGGAACATCCATTTAAAATGACTATTTTGCTAGTTAGTTTTGGATATACTGCAGTTAGTTTTGGATCTATGCATATTGATATGAAAGAATTCAGAACAGGACTAGCTCTATAGGCAAAATACGTCAACTGACCTACAAGGAAAATGATTTTACAGTCTCCTCATGGACGTGAGTCCAAATTCACAGTTGTCTACTCATTGTAAGTATATCCTTCTGAATTTTCATTTTACCTATCAGTACAATATATACTATTGGTTTATGAATAGTATTTGAAATTAATCAGAGAACCTGAGATCTACTACCTCCGTTTCAAGTTGTAAGACTTTCTAGTATTGCCCATATTCATATAGATGTTAATGAATCTAGGAACACATATATGTCTAGATTCATTAACATATATATGAATATGGGTAATGCTAGAAAGTCTTATAATATGAAACGGAGGAAGTACCTCAACTCTAATGCCATAACTGCTATAAATGGTATAAAGAGTTATCCAGACGTGAACTGTTCATAGTGATTCCAGAAGAAATTAGCATGGTATGCCAGGCTGCAATGCACGAGTCGAAAAACAAATTAATTTGTTACCCAAACACAGTTGACACCTGACAGTAACAAAATCAGCTAGGTGCATATGATTTCCAGCTCCTTCCTGACCTTAATTCACAAACCATGCTTGCCAGGATAAAAGGCTTACATTTTTTGCAGAGTATAAATGTAAGCCTTTTACTTATGCTGGAAAGGAAGTACTACATCAGATGGTCTACATGCACTGTTAAGTTCTTGATTATAGCTGCATACTGCATTAGACGTACTAATTATAACTGCAGGAAATGGGGTACATCATCTACAGAAATTTCACTCAGATTATAATAAGCAGCCATAACCACTGAATGAAAAGAGGCAATAACACTCAGAGCACAAGTGTTATAATTAGCAGTGTTACAGTGAGAATCCTCCAATATTTCTAGATCAATTGTTCAGTTGAAAATCACCTATTAGTCCTTACCTGGCAGCAAGCAACTGTGTGCCACTATGTGTAGGTAGAAAACAGTACTAACCGGTGAAGCCAATTAATTTCAAGCGCAATGACCTGGATACAATTATAAAAATGTTGATTATATTCTGGAGCACCATCACTCCATCAGCTCTCAGGCAGCATAAATGGCCGATGTAATTTTGGATCAAAAGCATAAGTAAAACTGGAATTATTATGGGAGTTTGTTTCTATTTTTTGAAATATTTCATCCTCTTGAAAGTATAAGTTGTATAAATTTATTACATGGTGTATAATGCTATTTTGATAATATCAAGGTTCCATGGTCAAAATCAGCTCAGCAGTAGGGACTCAGCAGCTCCATCTCATGAACCATCTGAAGTTTGTCAAGTCTCCAGTACTGCAAAAGAGTCCCCTCCATAGTTTTCTGTTGAAGTGCCAGTGGCAAATCATCTATGCATAACAAATGGACACAGGGCCTATGAAACGGGAGCTCCAGAAATCTGTCACCACTTTTTTTTAACCTTAAAAGGTGTTTTATCAGGCAGCTGTCGTGCCTATGAAAATGAAAGGGACCAAGCCATCCTGATTTCATGGGGTTTTGATAGCTCAAGGAGAGGGATGCGAAGTGAATTCACCACAAAAGGTTAGATTGAAAAAAATGTGTGCATCTTCAACTAAATAGCTGATTTGTAAGCAACATAATAGAAGAGCCTGACGGCCCTGACCGCCGCACCACCACCAGTCCATACACCCACCAATACAAAGCAAGACGGCAGGGCGACTTATTGGGGGGAGGAATGGGGGTAGGGGTTATGTACCTTTCAGCGGCGGAGGGACGGCGGCGTGACTCCGTATAGGTGGCGGTTGAGGCGAGGCGTGACGATTTCCGCGGTGGAGGGACAGCGGCGGCGATGCCGGTTGAGGCGGAGGCCGCACAGACTTCGCCGGCGGAGGGACAGCAGCGATGTCCGGATCGGCGGGCGGCGTGGTCGTGGTCGTGGTCGTGGATGGATGCGCCCGACGTTGAACTGGCGACGGAGATCGGTGTCTGCGCGGAGGAGGGCGTAGGTTGCGGCGGAGGACGGGGATCAACAGGCGACGGGTTTGAGAAAGAGAGTGGGGAGACCGGAGCCGGAGCTGGGCGGCAAGACGGCGGATTGGGTCGGCGACGGGAGGGAGGCGGCGGTGGGAGGGGAGACTGGGCGGCGACGGGAGGGGGACGGATTCGATAGCGGCCAGAAGGGGGAGGTGCGACAGAAGCGGATCGCACGGATGCGGTCGAGGCGGAGAGAGGGAGGTGCGGGAGGGAGAGGCGGGGTTGCCGTCCGTTGTAAATCATCAGATGGTTTTCAACCGTTATATGTGTCACACGTGATGAATGAGTAAAATAACTTGTTGAACTATTGGGTAGATTTGAGTCAGTTTTTAATTTTGTTCGCTTTTGAAAATATAGATTCATGTTTGAGTTAGTTTTTATGTTTGTTAGCTTTTGGAAATACAAAAGGAGTCGTATAAGAAATATTTTTAAAAAAACTCGCATACTAACTTGAGACGAAAGTCGGACTCCTAATTACAACTCATGATTTTCTTAAAAAAGATCAAGCGAATTTTCAGAATAAATTTTACCCTAACTAAATCGTATAACAATAATAAGATTAAAATAACTCTCACCCGTTGCAACGCACGAACATTGTTTCTAGAGAGAATCCTTTATATGCCACTGAAAATTGGTCTGATCCCTTATATGCCATTGAAAATTGGCTCTTTCCTTATATGTCATTGATCCAAATTTACACACCCTCTCATATCACTCCCGTCAGTTGACCGTGTGTTTACCATTAATTCTCAAGGAAAAAAGATATATTTACCCTTCTGATTATAGGGCATACCTAACAATTTAGAGTGGGCAAATATGTCTTTTTTACTTGAGAGTTAACGGTCAACTGACGGTAGTGGCACGAGAGGGTGCGCAAATTTGGACCAATGGCATATAAGGAAAGAGCCAATTTTCAGTGGCATATAAAAGATCAGACCAATTTTCAGTGGCATATAAAGGATTATCTCTTTTTTTCTACTGTATATCTACGATGAACTCAACTCTATTAAGTTTTAAATTTCAGCTACATCTGATAACGACAACAAGCAAAGATGAGCTAAAGACCAGCGTTCTGAAGTCAAGCCATAAATTATACCAATTAACTGTTTTTCACAAGAGGACTACGATTTGATAAGGTAGTATACGTTAACATCTTAAGACGCCTAACAAGGCGCCTGTAGCTCAGTGGATAGAGCGTCTGTTTCCTAAGCAGAAGGCCGTAGGTTCGACCCCTACCTGGCGCGTTGCTCTTTTCTTTTCTTTTTTTTTTTTTTACCTTTCCTCTTGTTTTTTGCCTATCCCCATGCTGCCAGAATTTTTCTATTCTTCCTAAACAATTGCTATCTTTGGGTTTGAAGGATTTTTGGAGCTGCTCTTTTTTTAAGCTTTTCTCTCCTTTTTTTTTTTTGCCTGCGGGCCCTGCCCCCATGCTGCCACTATTGGCCACATTTTTTACCAGAATGACTATGCATACGACTCGTACATCCGACTCATGTATGACCCTGACTAGCTGTGAAAAAACTGGACCCACATAGAAGTAATCTGAGCAACGTGATTAGTCTAATGAGGTGAGACGTACACGAGTCGTATGCATCGGTCATACGTATAGCTCAGTGGATAGAGCGTCTGTTTCCTAAGCAGAAGGCCGTAGGTTCGACCCCTACCTGGCGCGTTGCTCTTTTCTTTTCTTTTTTTTTTTTTTACCTTTCCTCTTGTTTTTTGCCTATCCCCATGCTGCCAGAATTTTTCTATTCTTCCTAAACAATTGCTATCTTTGGGTTTGAAGGATTTTTGGAGCTGCTCTTTTTTTAAGCTTTTCTCTCCTTTTTTTTTTTTGCCTGCGGGCCCTGCCCCCATGCTGCCACTATTGGCCACATTTTTTACCAGAATGACTATGCATACGACTCGTACATCCGACTCATGTATGACCCTGACTAGCTGTGAAAAAACTGGACCCACATAGAAGTAATCTGAGCAACGTGATTAGTCTAATGAGGTGAGACGTACACGAGTCGTATGCATCGGTCATACGTATAGCTCTTCTCTTTTTGTACTCTCCCTAAACAATTGAGTGGTAGAACATATCTTCATGCCTCCTTTGGTTTGAAGGATTTTTGGAAGAAAGACATCGGATTTGAAATCCTATAGGAAAATCTAGTATTCATCCATTTGGAATAAAAGGAATTGAATATACTGTAACAAAATTAAAGGAATGATTTTCTGTAACAACTGTTCCGCAGGAATTCAAGCATCCACTTATATCATTTTTTTAGAACTATACCATTTTTTTAATTATTTACTTTCCTAAGTCCAAGAACCAATGAAATCAAGCCATATAGAGCATCAAATGAACATAGTTTGAGGATTTGAGCTCATTTGAGGAATAAGTAAGGGTTTAAACTTGATTAGCAAGATTCCTATATTTTGCCAATTCATGTGTTCCAAATGAAATGTCTTCACTTTTTCCTACATCTTGAAGTCCTTTGTTGTGTGTGTGTTCCTATAGTTAGGATCGTCACTAGCAATTTGAGGCCCTATGCCAAATATAAAATAAGGCTTTACTTTTAGAAAATACTACTCTCTTTATCCTATAATATAAGGCACAGCTAAGCTCGGTATGGTCTTCAAAACTAATCTTTGTCTTTTCTCACATACTATAAGGTTTATAGCAATAAAGTTATAACCATATGAAAAAAAAATCAAATGTCATGGTTATGGATACCACATATCCAATAGTAATCGACTAAGCTCGAAGGGGCCCACCATATACTAAGTCTTATACGGAATCATAACTCATATATAGAAGGAGTTCCGCATAAGGAAGGACAACTAGAGTTCTATATAGAAACGACAAGTACTAATTGGATTGTATTCATATTGGTTTCCCTATTCCTACCTGGACAAAAGGATATCTATGGGTATAAATACAAGACCTAAGAGGAGAGGAGACACATAAAGACACAACACATGAGTCAGAACAGACACCAACACACGCCGCCAAACATCGACATCAGAAATAAGCCTATACAGACCCAATATGGTGCCTGTGGAGGCTGACAAGAGTTATCTAGCACCATCTCTGATCTCGATGAGTTCGTACTCGAGGAGGAACATGCATGCACAACATTGTAGATTGTGAACTTAATATTATAGCCATATCAGAAAATGCTAATTTACAATGGGGAAAAAGTTCAATTTAGCATATGATGCCAATAATCCAGCGAAACTTAGACCTGCCCACTCCACTTCTTAAATTAAAGGAAAATTTTGCTAATTTAAAGTTTGTGTAATTTACTGGTAGACATCGAAAAATGTACCAAGGATACTTTAAGCTTACAATAACAAAATTTGCTATTATTAAAGGATACTTTCCAGTTGAAAGATACTTTAAAATTGGTAGTTTGTTGGAGAATATTTCCGGCCGAACTAGAAAGATAAATTCTTCAAAATACAGGAATATTCATAGGGACAAAAGTTTCTAACTTTCCCCCAAAAAAAAAAGTTTCTAACTTAGCGTGGAGTGAAGATATATAATGTATGACAACAATATACTTGAGATGATAGCAGATTTATAGTTACATAATTTTGAAATTTTCACTCGAACGTCGTGGTAGAAACTTGTGGCCATAGGTACATGCCCATCTATTTGAAAATTTTCTTATTCCAATTGGATCGGAAACATCCTCCACCAAACTACCATTTTTTAAGGTGTTCTCCTGTTGTGGCACATTTGGCACAAATTTTTTAATCTACTAACAAATTACACAAAAGTTAGATGTCATATTGCAACATTTGCCTAAATTAAACTAAAGTGCTTGCTCAGAATACACTAATTCGAACCAGGGAAAAAAATCAGGAAATACAAGTAATAAATTTACAGGGAAAAAATTGCCTTTGTGGTAGCTGAAAGGTCTCCTAGAGAAGCCCAAAGGGTTTTAGAAGCCCAAGACAAAAGCCGACGCCAACGCAGGAGTTTGTAAAACCCAGGTGAGCACAAGAAACCCTACCGCCGCCTCCTCTTCTCTTCTTCCTCTCCCCTTTCACCAACGGAGCAACCATGGCCTGTCCTCCGCTCCTCCGAATCCAACTCTTCGATTCCGACTCCCACGCTCACCAGCTTCCTCCGGAGCCGCCGCAAGAAAGCTCTGACGAAGAGGACATGGTTGCTTGTCATCCAGAACTGAAACCACCTTCCCAAGGAAAAAGGAGGCAATCTTCTCCTTGAATTGCCTGTCTATGTCTGTGTTTCTCCTTATGGCTGTCCTCCATATTATTCTTCTTGTGCTGCTGAAGAGACTCACCGACCTCCGGCGGCGACGTCTTCTTCTTCCCATTGAAGGTCTCGGTCTTCTCCTTCAGCTCCTGCGGCATGGGACGACGAGGTGGAGCTCGAGTCCTCGAGGAACTTGTGCCGCATGGGACGCCCACCAAGAAAGCCCCCCTCGTCGCCCCGCCACCGCCACCGCCGCCGCCGAACAACCAAGAGTCTGAATCTGATTCTGATTCCGATGACGGCCAAAAGTCCGATTCCAGTGACGACGAGGCGCTGCCGGTGCCGAACCCAGCGCTTCAGGCCAACAAGAATGTGCCTCCGTCCGATGATGATGAGGATGACGACCAAGAGTCCGATTCCGGTGATGCCCGAGGTCGGTGAGTCTCCTCAGCAGCACAAGAAGAAGAATATGGAGGCCTCAGCCAAAGGGGACAGCCATAAGCATAGCAGGAGAAACACAGACATAGACAGGCAATTCAAGGAGAAGGCCTTCTACTTTTTCCTTGGGAAGGTGGTTTCAATTCTGGATGAAGATCATCTCGACTAGTTTAAGGAGGCTTTCTTGAAGCTTGCTGACAGCAAGGCCAGTGCCTTGGATGCTAAGATCAAGCAGCTGACTTTGGCTCAGGTCAGGGTGTCTTTGCAGGGGCGTGGCCTGGAGAAGGAACTGATCAAGTTGCTGTCGGGCTTGCTCAAGTGATCATTATAGATTGATTGACTGACCTTTCTCACCTCTAATTTACCTTGCCATCTTTTAGTTGTTGATCTGCCTTTACCATACAAGATTTCCGTTTAGAAGTAATCACTGTTATCTCCATATTCCATCGTGATGCTGACTTGAGGTTCTAATCTGTGGAGGCAGTAGTTTAGTTGTGATATACTGATATCCTTTTAGGAAGAGCTTGCTGGTAAGGTTCACATTGCTTAAGAGCAGCTGCGTCCATTTGTTGCCAAGGGGATATATAATAACTCAAATGGGCAAGTTTGTACTTTAATGGTTTTTGAGGGCATCAAGCAAAGAAAAAACAAGCCCAATGACCTATCAATGTCAAAAATTGAGGTGATTTTGTTCTCATTTACCAGTATGCCGTTTGGACATTGTTGTTTTTCTCTCAGACCGTATGATAGAATAGAATAAAATATACTACACATGTATACTGGCTATGCTTATAAGCAATTTATTTTTGTTTAGTTATATTACCATGTTGGCTTACTGTTGCAGTTAATAACTGCAGGGTACATTTTGGTGGGGGGGGGGGGAAGGGTGGAGATGCTTCTATTAGAGTATACGTTTATGATTGAATTAGTGAACTTTAGGTTTGTGGTATAGGTAAACAGCCCAAATGATGTGCCAACTGATGTAGAGTGCATTGTTTTTTTAGAAGTGTCAAGTCTATGATGTTGCATTTTGTAAAGTGAATTGCATAACGTCAGTTTGCCTCTGCTAGCTAGTATTTGTTTTGTTCTGTTTTAAGTTTATTCATTTCATTATTCTTATGTGTTTCCAAGCTGCGATGCATTTTATTGCTTTCCATTCCATGTAACACCATGATATGAATTGCCTGCCTGTTCATTTAATTTTAGACTCTTCTCTTTACACGTGAAGCCATGCCATTCTCTTTTCTTATCCTTGTTAAAACTTTTTTGTGTGCAAACTGCTTAAATGATGGAAATGCAAGATTCCTTTGGAAATATAGTTGCGGATAGTTACTGATTGATATATAAGAATGTCCCCAGAAACTAGATTCTTTAGTATAAACAATTGCAAACTTTCTAGACAATTGAAACTACTGATTGTGTTTTCAATGTCTTGATACCCTTCTTCCTTGTGTAAGTAAAGGAGTTATTTGACATCAACATCAGTGGGTGCTTATTTGTTTAGAAGGTTTCAATGACCTATCGGTGTAAATTGAGTCTATTTTTGCAAACTGGTTGGCCTTCTATGGTCTTGGGCTATGTGCAGTTGTGTTTCTGATGACTAATCTAGCCAAGCAATTATGTCACTTGATTTGCGTTTTTTTTTTCATTTTTGCAGACATGGAGAAAGCTTCAAGGAAGTACAGTATGCTAATGCACCTGGTCATTTTGCTTTTGGTCTGGCTCATATCTTTATGTTATGTACATACCAACCTCGTTGGTATCGTCTCATTTGGGTCCAAGATGGACATGTCTAATCTACTGATGTAAATACTCTGGTGATTTGGGACCACCAAGACTAGCCACTCTACCCCATATTTAGGTATGAAGTAGCTTATATTCCACTGAACTACCTGCACAACAGTTATTAATCATGGTAAACTTCAGTTAAGCTTCATTCAGAAGCATGCTGTTATTCTGGTTATGGTATGAATGATGGTATTGTGCGACTTCGACGGAACACAAGGTGAATGATCGTAGGGAAGTTTGGATTCTATGATTTTCATAAGAATAATCATATTAGTTTGCATATAAGAATAGTTCCTCCCCCAAATTTAAATGGAATTCATACCTTATGCCCTAATTCCACAGCAATACAAGCTGTGTGCTAACATTATCTTGTTTTATTCTCTGACAAGTCCGACGCACTATTCTCAAACAAATCTGATCTTGAAATTTCCATAATTTTCATGTGAGCCAGCCATGATGTTGTAATCAGGCGGTCAGGCTAGATCCTCAAATACTTCCTTCGGATATAAAACGGAGGGAGTAGTAATTTAGGATAACTGAGGTGAGCAGAGCTTCTTGTGTTGTTATATTGATCGATCTGATAATTACTCCGTAAACAAACATGTGGTCGATCCGGTCCACAAAGCCGTTGTAGCTTTTAATTTAACACCAAACATGTTGGTTGGAACATCAATTCGAGAGCTTTATTATTAACATATATGGGAGTTGAGTTTGTAAATGATCGATCTGGTGTAGTGAAAATAAAATGCCCTGAAAAATGACACAAAGGAACGGACCCAAATTCGCTGAAACAAATTTCAGAAAGAAATAACGCAGCGGCATTGTCACCAAGCTACACAGAGCTAACTAGCTCTTTTTTTTTTTTGAGAACAAGGTTTATTGATCATTAAAAGCATAGTACATGAACTAGAGATACATTCTCCATAACTGGCTAACTAGCTAGTGCTTCAATCGAGCAGGCCATTCAAAGATCCACAATTAAATTCAGAAACGGGAATTGAGAAGCCCAAAATAAGTTGATTTCTTCTATCCCTTGAATAAAAACATTGTCAAGTTCTTGGAGCGTGAAATTTATAGGCGGAAAACTTAACACTTTTATACGAGATATCCATGCAAGCTCAGATTTTACAGGCTTTTATGAAAGACCGACAGGGTTGGCCATGCTACTCGAACAAGCTTCATCTATTTTATGCTGCTGATGACCAAAATTTTTGTAACCCTCTGTGAGCACGAAATCATTATCACAACTGTAGTCATCACAACCTAAGCTCATCACTTGTTCATCACTGTGGCATTCACTCCCACAGTTCATTAACTGATCGTCAGTTTGGCCTCCTGTACAATGATATACTAGAGCTCTAAGACTACTGCTTACATTCAGTACAGCTTCTACCTCTGCACCCTTCCTTTGTTCTGTGAAATCAATTTTTTGACGTAGAGGCATCTGATGCCTCATCTGGTAAATCACCCTGATCACATTCAAACAAACAATCTATCAAATACCTTCTCACAGTAGTCTTGAACAGCATCTCATCGTTTGAACCTTGACATAGTATGGGACGCAGCAATTTAAGATCCCCTTTCTTCAACTTTTGAATTGACCAAATAGCATTCAGGACATCATTTTGCAAGAAAATAGCTTTCTTTGAGAATGGAAAGAACTCTGCCTGTGAGATGTCCATGCATTTCAACTCTTGCTTCCTATACAGATTCACCACTGATAGTGCTTTTGCCAAATTCTTTGGCAGGTCACCACTTTCCCCAACCCTTGAAATCATCTTATTGCACTGTTTCCTAATCACAGTAACCATATGCGCCTTTCTGCTTATACGAGGTACAAAACTAAATTTTGGGGTGAAAGATATTTCATCAAGCTTTCTTTTCATTGCAACAAGAGATTGTATAGTCAGTGTACCAAGTACATTTAATGCCTGGTTGATGGATGATAACATTTTCGGTGAAATAGGTGTTGCAATGTTTAAGGAATTAGATCGGCAACTGAATGAATTTGTTAAAATGTGCGACAGTTGAGACATGTCATTTTCATCACGCAAGTTTGCCAAGTATTGTGGTAGGTGGTCTTCTATGATCTTGTTCATCGCTGGCCTGGTCTTCTCAAAACTAACCCTATTGTGGGTGACGATGTTAGCCACTGAATGAAGTGCTTCATTGCTTAACTTATTTATTATGAGTTGCATGTCTGCAAGACCTTGTGGACTGAGTGAGCCATCCTTGCCTTTTTGCAACTTAAAAAACTGAAGGCCATCTTGAACAATGTGGTGGCTGTAGCCATCGCTTTGGAAATCAAAACATTTTTCAACATGGGCTATGACTTTCTCACAAGAAACCTAGGGAGAAATATTCAAGACAATGTGCTGACTGTAGTAACTGGATAAGAACAATGTGATGACTTACCTCATCACTCCTTACATATGATTCAGCCAAGTACCTGCAAACCAGAGAAATCTCATAATAAGATTTTTGTTTTGTTACAACAGTACTAATAATAGAAACATAATAGCACTAAAAGACAATGTAAAGAAGATAGCTGCCTTCAAACTGGTGTGACGTATAAGTTAGCATCATTTTCTGCACATGTAGTGGTGTGTGACCTATAAGTTAGCATCATTTTCTGCACATGAAGTGATTTGCAAGCCATCAAATGACAAAGATGAATACATAGAAACATATATTGAAATGCCACCTGATCATCCATTTATGTTCTTAGTTGCTTCAGTAATAAAGCATAAAAGTACCCATGGTGTGATATTACAAAACAATTCAATATTTTGAAATGAGCAACAAATAGATCATTTGTTTACAAGACATGATCACATTAGTAGACAGCAAGCTTCCAATCAGTACAATTTGAAACCCCAAGAATGGTGTAAATGGTGCACTTGCGCATCTTTTAGAAACTTGGGTCGTTTGATAGGTTTGATGAGACCGTCTTCCCTTGGAATCAGAGACCGCAGCCATCTGCTTAAAAAAAAGGTATTAGCACAAGAATACTGAATCTGGATCAAGAATGAGAAAAAAAAAGAACAGGGTTATCTTAGATAGTAATAGAAGAGAAATATACATACTTCCTTTTCTTTTTGGCAAGTGCTTTCTGCTTCCGAACAAGAGAGCACAGTTTGTTGGCATCCTTGAAAGAGAAATCAGTCTCAGAATCTGTAAAAGCAACAGTAAATTACAAAATATAAAATGGCAAATTATTAGAAAAGAGAAACCAGCCTACGTAAATGCTGTTGAGCAAAGTAGTTAATTAGGAGTAGTTGCTAATTTGCAATTATGCACCGTCATTGGTAAATTTGAGTGTACTTTTTAACTTCCAAATCAAATTTCAAAACAAAGTTCACAAGTTTATATCACATAACAAAAGTTTCGAACATCGTAAATCCCATATGGAATTACAAATTTAGTTGAAAAAAAAGGCGAGAAATATAGCAATAATATCTTATAATAATTGACTAACTTAACAAGCTAGGTTCAAAATGTGCAAATGTTGTAATATATAGTTCAAGTAGAAAAGGTCTTACACATCAATTATGGAAACTGTTGGTGGTTCTTCTTCAGTTACGGGAGCTTCATCAACTACAATGGCACATTCACTAATAAGCAATCACAAATTCAGTAATTTAAGAATTGGTAAGGACAAATGTTTCATAGTTTATGGTTCAAATACAACGAGAGACTGTTAACAATGAAACTATGAGCTAGAGGAATGAAGATACCTGCTAGAAAAGGGGCAGATGGGGGATCGACAGGCAAAGAGCAAGGGAAAGCGGCACGGGTGCACTGTGCAGGGGTTGACCCAGGATTTTGAGGCTGGGTATTCGAAATGTGAAGGGTAAAAATATATTTTTTACTCCCAAAAGAAACTATAATTGGCTTGTATAACATTAAGCACTAATGGTTGTACGATATATAGCATATATAACACAAAATTGAGCCTAACTTAATAGCCAACTGTACTTATATTCTCAGAAATTAAGTCATTGCATCAAAGCCCGATTTTTTTTCATCTAAGCACATGCAACACTGTATTTCCAAATACAAGCAAGCAAAACACACATTTAAATTTGTAGGCAGGATGCTCCTTGAGTGGTGATTCTATTCAACTGATGTGAACAAACTAATTGGATGCTGAATTGATGAGTACATACGTACACGTATATACCAACAGCCTACCTCCAATTGGCCCGGTGGCTTTTGTTTCAGAAATCAGAACAACATAATAGGTGTAACATTTTTTCTACAATTCAAATCTAATTCATCCGTAAGGATCATCAAAATCATAATTTGTGCTAATTAGTAATCTTCATTTGTTTTGCATAGCAGTGTTGCATATCGATCAGCTTTTACAAATCATTGTAGCATATACATTTTTCAGTGTAATCTAAATATAGTAAGGCAGTTACACGATTGCTATTTGCTGGCAAAGAAGAGAGTGTTTTTTGAAGAAGGCAAATAAGAGAGTTATCAAGGCTGATGATTCCTGCACGTTACTGCTAGTAACAAAGCAGCGAAAACAGGGGCGGATCCAACTTGGGACATGAACCCCTAAACTTTTGGGTGAACAAACAAACTGTTACTACTTGTATTAAGAGAGGTTTAAGGCTCTCAAATTAAGGAGGAGAAGAGCTTCTTCCAGATCTAGAAGAGAAGCTAGTAGGGTTAACGAACGCAAGCAAATTCCAGACATAAGTAGTCCTGGTGGGGTGAGAGAGAGATGAATCAGAAAGAGGATGTGGATGCTCACCAGGATCCCCTCCCATGCTCTGCTCGCCAGATGAAGATCGCCGCCCCTCCCCTGTTCAGCCGCGACTCGTCTTGGCAGCGGCGCAAGGAGCGGAGGAGACAATGAGACGGGAGGTTTCTCTTTCTTTTACGCGATACCCGACTCCTCCACCTTTATCTCAATATTTTTACTATTTTAAAACTAGTTGATTAGTAGTATTTCTTTATGATGAATCATTAATACTTGGAGAAAAATTAACAGGAACATATCCTATACACACTTCGTACACATCAACTAACGAATGTCACAAAAAATTATACATTTACTCCTAATAGTATATGCGCTCCATAATATATATTAACATAAGAAATTGTATTTATATAAGGTATCTGACTAATTTTTTAAGAGAAAAATATTTTTGTTAAGTATAATCTAGAATGCTATAAAGGTTAATAATATTGATCGATATAGTCATATAAATTTTATGCACTATATACATTGTTCAAGTGAATTGTGAAATTCACTATTTACTAGTTAAATGCATATGCATTACAATGTGATCTATATATAAAAATAAGATTTAGTTTATTTTTAGTCTGGTTTGTTATGATATATTGGATTTTTTACATTTCTTTAGAGATAATATTATATAACAGTTAGATAATTTATTATTTTATAAATAAATTAATTTACCGTACCACATTTATAAAATCCTATGTCTGCCGTTGAGTGAAAAGCACATCAATCTCTCCGATATTTAGTTAAACAAACAACCAATTTTTTTATCAACATCAGGTCAACTGGATCGACATGTTCACGTAGGCATGTTGCTTAGAAACAAAAGCCCAAAAATTATGTGCTCACATTCGTAATTAAAAGGTTGTTGTGATTAAATAACAAAAAATCGGCATCAAATCCATTACACAAGTTCGCTAAATCCTTGTATATATACGCTAAGCCATTGCACAAGCACAAGTTCTACTTCCCAAAATGAAATCCTCAGTGTGAAATTTGGATAACTCAATAATTTAGTTTTTTTTCTTACTAAATAGAAAAAGGAATCCTTATTTCCTATAAGTTCAAATCGTCTTTACGAAATACAACTATGTGATGTATAGTCATGATTATCATCGGAACACTTATCGGAGTTGAGAAAAAAAAACAGCTCCATCGAACCGATTGAGTGGAGCATAGAGAGAAATTTGACAAAATGGAATGATGAGATCCTAAACAAACCTAAACATATTGTTTTAAATTGAAACACATAATTTTTAGGACACGCGTGCTTAGAGATGGGCTTACTTTCCTATCATGTTCCTACATTTTTTTTCTAAGGATTTGCTAGATTTCAAGCGTCTGAAGATTCAGTAATTTATTGTCAAAGGGTTGGACCTGACAATGGCGTAGGTTACATTAGTACTAGGGTATATACGAGATTGAGAGTAAAAGATGCGAATCATGGATTCCTATACTGATTCAGCCCCCGAGATGGGTTATATCCCTAATCTTGTTTATATATTGATATGCGATGTGTTGCACTAATTACAAAAGTTGAGAAAGCCAACTATTCTAACCTACCATCTAGTCTTATCGAGAACTACTCTAGTGACTTATAGTCAGCAACTAACTTTGGGTCGAGCTTCTCATGGCTGGTCTTATATGTGGCTCCTGGCTATGGGTTATGCTTCAATACCCTCCCATTCTGAGGGGCTTTGTATTTATACCGATAGGCAACTCATCATCCAAGACCATAGACAGACAAGACCTTGTAATACCTGAATCCAACATCTTACCTTACTGGGGAGGATTTTTGGCCATATCTATAGAATTTACAAAACTTGGATATACCCTTCCATATAATATTGGGTACACGGTATTCCCTACTGGTATGAATACAAATATAGGATGCATACATGATCCGTAACACTAACACCTATAATTGCACATTGCTAAGCATAGGATTGCAGTGCTATATAACATGCAACTTTAGTTATTTAATCTATATACTTTTACTTTAGTTGTACATAATTAAGTTTGAATATTTTTACATTTATTTATTAGGAATTGCAAAGTTACTTCATATTTTAATTAGAGTGATTTATTTTTCAACATTTTATAAGAAAATAGCATACTTTGTTTTGAATAAGTAATCGTGGGAGTTATTGGAACCATTAAATTACTATCCATTGAATAGAAATCTGTTTTTTTTTTGGAAATTTAGATTTTTTTTTTCAACATTCTTAGGCATTTTAAATTAGAATTTTCAAATAATATCTAAGAGAAAATTCCACCTACATCCTATGTTTTCTACACACATTGGATCCGATTTAAGATTCATGCAATCTCTCAACCTTAACCCCTTCCCCCTTCGATCTCCCCGTCCTCTCCAGGCTCCGGCGCTAACGCCACCTATTTTGATCCCTCTCCTCCACAGCCACAAGCCCTCCAACAACTGACCTTCTTCCACTCTCCTTACCCTAAGCCAGCGACGATGAATGTCATTGCCCCGTGGTTTAACTTCCTCGTCTCCAGCGATTCCCTAGTCATTGAAGATGCCATTACCACTAAACTCCCGCAATCTATCCTCCCACAGCCGCATGCCATCCCCACGGCTTCGACACTGCTACCGTCACCTTGCCATCCACTTGTTCCATTGCTTATCTTCGACTCACCGCCTTCCACAACAATCCTTTGAGGCCAGCAAATTTACTCGTTCTTCCCCTCCCCCCTTTCATTCCAAGCATAATCTTAATCCTAATTGGTTGGTCCACCGCCATCTCTTCGAAGCTAGAGGAGAATGAGGACAAAACATGAAATGTGACACGGATCTAACTGTGAAAGATTCGACAGAAATCCATTCTAAGGGCATGTTTAGTTCACGAAAAGAAAATTTTTGGGTGTCACATCGGATGTTTGATCGGATGTCGGAAGGGGTTTTCGGACATGAATGAAAAACTAATTTCATAGCTTGCCTAGAAACCGCGAGACAAATCTTTTGAGCCTAATTAATCAGTTATTAGAACATGTGGGTTACTGTAGCACTTATGGCTAATCATGGACTAATTAGGCTCAAAAGATTCGTCTCGCGATTTCTCCTCTAATTGTACAATTAGTTTTTTTAAATCTATATTTAATGCTCCATACATGTGTCTAAAGATTCAATGTGATGTTTTTTCATGAGAGCTAATTCGTGCGCACGTGCCAGCAACGTTGCTGGCATGCGCGCCAACCGGCGGCTTCTCCCCACGCCACGCCTTTCTTTTTTTATTTTTTGGTGATTTTTTCGCTTTTTTCCCAGCTTTTTCTGATTATATTTTTTAATCTTTAGCACACGTGTTTTTTCAAAATGTTTTGAGTTGAAAGTTTTTAAATCTTAACTTGAAAATTTTCAAATCTGAACTTGAAAATTTTCAGATCTGACTAAAAGTTTTCAAATATCGAGTTGAAAATTTTTTAAATCTAAGTTGAAAGTTTTCAAATCTCGAGTTGAAAGTTTTCAAATCTGGGTTAAAAATTTTTAAATCTCGAGTTGAAAGTTTTCAAATTTGAGTTGAAAGTTTTCAAATCTCGAGTTGAAAGTTTTCAGATCTAGGTTGAAAATTTTCAAATCCGGGTTGAAAGTTTTTTAAATTTGAGATGAAAAGTTGAAAGTTTTCAAAATTTGACTAGAAAAATTCAAATTTCAAGTTTAAATCTAGGTTTAAAATTTTAAAAATTTGATATAGATTTCTTTTATTTGTTAGTTAAAAAAATCTCGCGAAAAAATCCTAACTACTACCGTAATTATCTTAAATTGTAATTATGAGAGTAATAGATTAGTCTAACTTAAAAAAACGCGCCAGGTAGGGACCTCATGTTTTTTGGAAATTTTTTTGAGAAACTAAACCAGGCCTAATTTTCCGTCAGACGGTAGCAATTCCGTTTTCCAATAGTTGCAAAAGAAACCTCAAGGCTCAAACAAAATTCACGTTCGTACGTCCCCACCCCCCTCGTGATGGTCGATCGAGTCACGAACTCACGCGCGAACCTCGACGCGAAATAACGCCCGAACCTCGACGCGAAATAACACCGAGGCCCGCCTGAGCAGAGGCAGTGGCAGAGACGACGCAGACCTGGCACTGGCACTGGCACTGGCACCTGATAATCCGTGACGCGTTGCATAAAACCGTCTAGTAGTCCCTGCCCCATACGTGCGACCCGAAACTTGCCATGCCGCAGTCGCTCGCCACGGCAGCAGCATCACGGTCCACGTGACCTCGCAGTCTGAGTCTGAGACACCGAGACCATGGATGGCCCCTCTCTCTCTCCACTGCGTTCCAGTGTCTGGAAGCATGGACGTGGCACAGGAGAAAGGCCACCTTCTACCAGTACTCCCTTCACCCTATTTTTCATTAAGAATGTATTTGTAAAATTTTCAATTAATTATTCGTCTTACTAAAAATATTTATAAAAAATTATACATAAAGTACTATTCATATTTTATCATCTAATAATAATAATAATATTAATTAAATAAAAAATTTAAATAAGATGGATAGTCAAACGTTAGATTAAAAACTTATAAGTACATTTAAAATAAAGTTGAGGGCGTATTTTTTTTCAATGGAAGGAGGACCGAGGACGTGCGTGCCCGTGCGCAGTGGCAGCGTGCTGCGGGTGGTGGCGTTCAGGGGCCGGGGTGTCCGGTCTCCGGTCCGGCCGTGCATGGCGATGTACACTGTCAACGCTGATGCCCCAGCCAGCCAGCCCACAGTGTCCTACCTCTGTTGGTGTGTCATGCACTCATGTGTGCATGTGGCCACAGCCGAGCTTTATCGGGTTTCTCGCATGGAGCCGAGGTACTGCGAAAAGGTCGCCACAAAATGCAGTTCAAAGGGGCTGTTTGGTTCCTAGCCACACTTTGTCATTACTTGTCAATAAAAGTTGTCACATATTATTTAAGATGAGGTGATCAAATTGTTAGCCATAACTTACTAAGCCTAAGGGAATCCTGCTACACTTTTTTGAGCCATTGA